TCCCAAGCCTTACGGGCACGTGAACTTGAAGTTCCCAAGCCATCCCAAGCCACCACAATCACTCCCTAACCCTTGATGACGTCGGGCGCCTCAAGGTAGCTTCGGGCATCTCTGGGTCGCCCCAACGCGCTCTGCAACGTTCTCTAGCAATTTGCGAAAAAAGTGCGGCTCGTACTTGATTGGAATCACAAAGGCACCAACACATTCAAACCAATATTGAAAACACCATGAATCCAAGCGAACTCTGGAATGCAGAGCAAATCCAAGCAACCAGAAACAAACATTATCCTGGCGAAGGACCCGACTATGTGCAATTGTGAGTAAGCAGTTGTGGGTACCGTCCTCGGTGAACCTCTCTCTAGGGCCACAACGCGTGTCACGGGTGTGCCAAAATTGGCACGGGTACGCCATGCGGACGCTGCCACCGAAACGTGTGAGGGGTGCGCCGAACTGAAGTATAACTGCATGCGAACGCTGCCACTAGGGCCTTTGGCGGAGCTCCAGCTGGGGCCATGAGACGTGTGAGAAGTGCGCCGAAATTGAGAGTGTAACTGCATGCGGGCGCTGCCATTGGGGCCTTCGGTGGAGCACCCCATGGGGCTACGAAACGTGTGAGGGGTGCGCCGGTTTGGGGGTGGAACTGCATGCGGATCCTGCCACTGGGGTCTTCGGTGGAGCACCTTATGGGGCGACCGAATATATACGAGGGGTGCGGCGAAATAGAGGTGGAACTGCATGCGGACCCTGCCACTCGCATGCAGTTCCCCCCCCCTCCAGTTCGGCGCACCCCTCACACGCTTCGTGGCCTCATAGGGTGATCCGCCGAGTGCCCCAATGGCAAGGTCCGCATGCAGTTCCACCTCCAAACCGGCGCACCCTTCACACGATTCGTGGCCCCCTAGGGAGCTCCACCGAAGACCCCAGTGGCAGGGTCCGCATGCAGTTCCACCTCCATTTCGGCGCACCCCTCACACGATTCGTGGCCCCCTAGGGAGCTCCCCCGAAGGCCCCAGTGGCAAGGTCCGCATGCAGTTCGACCTCCATTTCGGCAAACCCCTCACACGTTTCGTGGCCCTTAGGGTGCTCCACCGAAGGCCCCAGTGGCAAGGTCCGCATGCAGTTCCACCTCCATTTCAGCAAACCCCTCACACGTTTCGTGGCCCAAACGGATGCTCCGCCGAATGCCCCAGTGGTAGGTCCGTGTGCAATTCCACGTCAATTTCGGCGCATCCCTCATACGTTTCGTGGCCTCATAGGGCGCTCCGCCGAAGGCCCCAGAGGCAGGGTCCGCATGCAATTCCATCGTCATTTTCGCGCACACCTCACACGCTTCGTGGCCCCCTAGGGGGTTCCACCGAAGGCCCCAGTGGCAGGGTCCGCATGCAATGTCCACCTTCATTTTCGCACACTCCTCGCACGTTCCGCGGCCACACAGGTTGCTCCGCCGACGGCCCCAGAGGCCGGGTCCGCATGCAGCTCCCCCACCTCCATTTCGGGCCTCATAGGGTGCTCCGCCGAAGGCCGCAGTGGATGAGTCCGCATGCAGTTCCACCTCCATTTCGGCGCACCCCTCACACGTTCTCTGGCCCCATAGGGTGCTCCGCCGAAGGCCCCAGTGGCAACACTAAGGCGACATGGAAGGGGGTCGCAGTTGCCCTCTCGCACCCTGCCAGCGCAAAATGAATGGGGGAAACTGGTTGGGGCAGAGGATGTTCTTTCTTTAGTTCGTTATTTATGTCTGTCTCTCTCTCTCTCTCTTTTCTCTCTCTCTCTCTCTCGCTCTCCCTCTCTCTACATACATATGTATATATATATATATGTATCACCTCCCACACAGAAACACACGCAACACAGAGTTGGCAATGGGAGGGGGCGAGCGGTTGCCCTCGCACCCTCCACACTCACGCGCAAAGAAGGGAATGGAACGGGGGAATGCTTGCACTGTCGCTCTCAGTTATTGTCTCTTCTGATTTGTTCCTCTCTCTCTCTCTCCCTCTCTTCCCTCGGATGCATCGTGAGCGATGGACAAGCCAGATATCGACATAGATGGATGAGCAAACTAGTGTGTGAGAGAGAGTATACGACAACGATTATCCAGGCGAAGGACCCAACCATATGCAGTTGTGAGTAACGCAATGGTATATACTGCCCTCCGTGGAACCCCCTATGGGGCCACGAGCCTTGTGATGGGTGAGCCGAAATGGGGGGTGGAACTGCATGCGAACTTTGCCACTGGGGCCCTCGGTGGAACTCCCCATGGGGCCACGAACCGTGTGAAAGGTGCGCCGAAACGGGGGTGGAACTGCATGCGAACTTTGCCACTTGGCCCCTCGGTGGAACTCCCTATGGGGCCACGGCCGTGTGAGGGGTGCGCCGAAATGGGGGTGGAACTGCATGCGAACATTGCCACTGGGACCTTCGGTGGAACTCCCTATGGGGCCACGAACCGCGTGGGGGCGCCGAAATGGGGGTGGAACTGCATGCGTACTCTGCCACTGAGGCCTTCGGTGGAACTCTTTATGGGGCCACGAACCGTGTTAAAGGTGCGCCGAAACGGGGGTGGAACTGCATGCGGACTTTGCCGTTGGGGCCTTCGGTGGGGCTCACTATGGGGCCACGAACCGTGTGAGGGGCGCGCCGACATGGGGTTGGACCTGCATGCGAACTTTGCCATTGGGGCCGTCGGTGGAGCTCCATATGGGGCCACGAACTGTGTGAAGGGCGCGCCAGAATGGGAATGGAACTGCATGCGAACGTTGCCAATGAAACCTGCAATTAAACTACTTATGGGGCCACGAACCGCGTGAGGGGTGCGCCGAACTGGGGGCGGAACTGCGTGCGAAATTTGCCACTGGGGCATTCGGTGCCATGAACCGTGTGCCAACATTCGGTGGGACTGCATTCGAACGTTACCAATGAGGCTTGCAATCGAACTCCATATGGGACCACGAACCGTGTGATGGGTGCGCCGAAATGGGGTGGAACTGCATGCGAACTTTGCCGCTGGGGCCTTCGGTGGAGCTCCCCATGGGGCCACGAACCGTGTTAAAGGTGCGCCGAAACGGGGGTGGAACTGCATGCGAACTTTGCCGCTGGGGCCCTCGGTGGAGCTCCCTATGGGGCCACGAACCGTGTGACGGGTGCATCGAAATGTGGGTGGAACTGTATGCGAACTTTGCCGCTGGGGCCTTCGGTGGAGCGCCCTATGAGGCCACGAACCGTGTGGAGTGTGCGCCGAAATGGGGGTGGAACTGAATGCGAACCTTGCCGCTGGGGCCTTCGGTGGAGGGGGTGGAACTGCATGCGAACTTTGCCGCTGGGGCCTTCGGTGGAACTCCCTATGGGGCCACGAACCGTGTGGGGTGCGCCGAAATGGGGGTGGCATGGCATGCGAACGTTGCGCTGGGGCCGTCGGTGGAGCTCCCCATGGGGCCGCGAACCGTGTGAAAGGTGCGCCGAAATGGGGGTTGGAACTGCATGCGAACTTTGCCGCTGGGGCCCTCGGTGGAACTCCCCATGGGGCCACGAACCGTGTGAGAGGTGCGCCGAAATGGGGGTGGAACTGCATGCGAACTTTGCCACTGGGGCCTTCGGTGGAGCTCCCCATGGGGCCACAGACCGTGTGGACGGTGCACCGAAACGGGGGTGGAACTGCATGCGAACTTTGCCGCTGGGGCCTTCGGTGGAGCTCCCCATGGGGACACGGACCGTGTGGAAGGTGCGCCAAAATGGGGGTGGAACTGCATGCGAACTTTGCCACTGGGGCCTTCGGTGGATCTCCCCATGGGGTCACGAACCGTGTTAAAGGTGCGCCGATATGGGGGTGGAACTGCATGCGAACTTTGCCGCTGGGGCCCTCGGTGGAGCTCCCTATGGGGCCACGAATCGTGTTAAAGGTGCGCCGAAATGGGGGTGGAACTGCATGCAAACTTTGCCGCTGAAGCATTCGGTGGAACTCCCTATGGGGCCACGAACCGTGTGGAGGACGCCGAAACGGGGGTGGAACTGCATGCGAACTTTGCCACTGGGGCATTGGGTGGAACTCCCTATTGGGGCACGAACCGTGTGAAGGGTGTGCCGAAACAGAGACATGCAAGGGGCAGAGGCAAGAAGGGGGAGGGGAGGCAGCGAGAGGAGAAGGAAGGAGGACGCGGGCGCTCTCTTCAAAACGAGGACCCAACACCACGGGATGGTTGGGAACAAGAGAGAGAGGGAGAGAGGGAGAAAGAGAGACAGAGACACCGAGTCGGCCTTCTCTGGGCCCTCTGAAGAACCACTTGGGGCGTCCTGGGAGCCTCGTCAGCCGCAGGCGCATACAAGCCGCGCGCATCCCCAATCCACTCGCGCATCCAAACAACACCTCCAACATGTATTACCACGCGGGGAAATAATTACTTAGTGGTAGTACAACAAACAGTACGCAAACCGTCAACGCATAGACAATATGAAGCAATTGCACGGTTCGGTTGCATCATGCACAGTCAAAGTGCCTGCGATTTGTTCGTGATGTTCCGATGTGAATTGTCTATATTTGTCTGAGATGTGCTGCTATATTCATTGGCATTTTCAAAGTTGAATTATTGCTAGAATTTCGGTATGTGTCTCGCATGTCGAAGAGAACCGCTGTTCGGGCTGTACGGGTGCAAGGGCTAAATGCCTCGTCACTGACGCCAAATCTTATCGTTTGAACTTGTATGGTAGCGAGAGGGGTAGTGCCGACTGGGGCACCGATGGCCTGCGCTACGGGCTCGCCTGAAAGGACCGCATAACCCAGATCGAGCAGGGGGCCCTGTCGCTGTTCCTCCTGCTCCTCCCAGGGCTGAACCTAAGCGGTGTTGTTCGTGCTCGTGTTGTGTTCGGTTGCCCTCGCTTTGTTTGCAGCCCACCCCTGCCGCAAAACGAAGTCGAAACGAAACGGCCCACGAAATCGTCAACACACCGTTTAGGTCCAGCCCTGGCTCCTCCTTGCCTTCTCCTCCCCCGTCGTCTGGGGGCAGAGCCTTCCACTTGTCCAAGAAGAGGAGATCCTCCTGGAGCGCACTCTCGCGATCTCTTTCTCGCTCTCTCTCTCTCTCACTCCCTGTCTTTACTCATCTTCCCCTCTCTCTCTCTGCCTCTCTTTTGTTGTATCCCTCTCTCTCTATTTCTCTCTTTATGCACATTTACTGACATGATTTCTCATCTCTCACCTCCAACCTCTCACATGCCATCTCTCATATCAGACCTACCGCTTCCATGGTTTTTAATACATCTGCATAAATGTATGACGTGAATTATGTGGGTTGTGCTTAGCTGTATCTCTCTCGCTCTTTCTCTCTTACGGTTTCCTCTCTCCCTCTCTTGCCTCTCGTATGTGCCCTTTTGTTTGTTCTCCCTCTCTCTCTATGTGTGTGTGAGTCCGTCTCTCTCTCTCTCTCTTTCTCGCTGTCACTTCGTGTGTTGGGAGGGGACAGGCAGGCAAGCGTGACGTAATCAGCCCTCCCTTAGCCTCCGCAGCCACCCTGGGATGCAGCGGGGAGGTCGGGGAGGGAGGGTGCTGAAGGGGACGGCCCACCGATCTCGAAGCCAACCCTCACCAAATCATGTCTTGGGGGACAGAACGGTACCGATGCCACTACTCCCCGGACCTCTCCCCGAATACATCCTGACAAGGACTGCGAAGAGAATCCAGCCGTGCCGAGTGGCGACGAGAGCTCCCCAAGACGAGCAGCGGTATCGGTATCTGTTTCACCTCCGAGTTTCAACATCCGCCAAGAGCCCTGCACTGCAAGCGCTGATTGGGGAAACCTATTGTAGAAAAAGGTGGCCTTGAACCGTCCTGGCCTCGGCAGCGGCGGGCGTACAACGCAAGCGACCACGAATCGATGCTCCTATCCTCCTCCTGCTCTTGACCTTGCTTCCTCTGGCTCTCCCTGGTTTGCCCCTCCGTTTAAACAAGAAAAGCGTCATGAGCACTGGGGGGACCTCAAGGTACCGATACCGCCACTCCCTGGACCTCTCCTGGGGTGCCTTCTGACCAGAACTGCGATGCGAATCCAGCCGTGGCGACGATGGCCTCCCAGGAGGCCCACAAGGGGATAACAAGGGAGGGGTAGCGGTATCGGTACTTTTCTTCCTCTGAAGCACACGCTGTCAGGAGGGTGTGGTTTGCAAAAGGTTTTGTCTGAAACCCACGCCTGGGGGGCGGGCGAGGACCCCGACAGAGATATCTGCCACGCCCCAGCGAGGATCCATCGCTCGAGAGATCCTCGGAGAACGACCCGAGCCCCAAAACCGTGCGGTGACCCCACACTCCCCACCGGCTCACCGCACGGTGCGGTCACCACCCCGTGTGGGGGACCCCCGAAGCTCCCCGCCCCCGCCCTCGCCCGGGGCGGGGCCTCGCCGCGGAGGGGGGCGCGCGTCGCGGAGAAGGGGTCGGCCACGGCCACGGGGGGCCACGGCCACGGTCGAGGCGCGGAGGGCCCGGGGGAGAAAAAAAAGCCTCCTCCTCCTTTCCCTCCTCCTCCTCCTCCTCCTCCTCCTCCTCCTCCTCATCCTTCGCCTCCTCCTCCTCCTCCTCCTGCTCCTGCTCCCCCTCCTCTCCTCCTCCTCTCTCCTCCTCCTCCCTCCTCCTCCTCCTCCTTTCCTCCTCCTCCTCCTCCTCCTCCTCCTCCTCCTCCTCCTCCTCCTCCATCCTCTCCCGCCCTCGCCCACGCAAGCCTCGCCACCTCCAGGGATCTCCACGCCGCGACCGCGCTCGGCCGCCGCGCGGGCCCCTGGACACCCACCGCCACCAGGAGTGAGGGAATCTGGGGAAGGCTGCTGATGGGACGCAGAGGGGCACACTAATACGACGTGTCCTCCTCGGAGTCTCGGAGGCGTGCGTCCGACCAGAACACGTAGTATAACAAGACTGCAATCAGTCGCTTGCCGAGACATGTGGCAAGAAAGCGCTGGCCACGAAGCATCTACACATAGTATGAGTACGTTGGGGTGTCGCCGACCTGATGTCAAGGACTGGAGCAGCTAGCTCCTCGCGTGGATGGTCAAGTCTTCACTCCTCCCCTCACTCTCCGCCTCCTCCCCTGCACCCCTCCCGCCCCGGGAGACGGGACGCCTGCACGATCGCCTTGGCGTTTCGCTTGTCCAGGCCGTTGAACAGTAGCTGCGGCAGCCAGGCCAGAAGCAGCGGGCGGAGGCAAGAGGGGTGGAGGGTCCCCTGGTAGCTGGCCTAGCCTTCCTCGCGACGGGTGACGAGGCTACCAGGGCCAGGCTGGCGCGCGTCTCGAATTGCCTCCCTTTCTGGGGAGGCAGGAATGAGGGAGGGGGGAGCAAGGAGCACGGGAAGCGGAGAAGGACGGAGGAGGCAAAAGGTGAGGGGGGAGGGGGAGGACGGTGAGAAGCGCAGAGAAACAGATAGACGCGCCTGCGGGGGGGAGAGATAGACAGAGAGAAAATGAGAGGCAGATGACAGAAACGAAGAGAGAGATATATATATATAGAGAGAGAGAGAGAGAGAAAAAGAGAGAGAGAGAGAGAAACAGAGACAGCAGGAGAGAAAGAAAACGAGAGAGCAGCGGAATAGAGGACTGGAGGAGAAAGGATGGAGGGGAAGAGGAGGGGGATCAAGGGGAAGGAAGGGGCAGCCGAAGGGCGCCTTCATGCTGGGCATCTTGAAGCCATAGGATCGTGCCGCCGTGACGAATTCCTCGCCGGGGCTGCGCCTGCACCCACTCCTACCCCCCCACCAAACGAAAACAAGCAAACAAACAAACAAACAAACAAACAAAGAAACAAACAAACAAACAACACCGAAATCCGCCGACCCGCGCTTGCCAGGGGTGGGAAGGCATGTCAAATGATTGGCGGCAGCCCCTCCCCCGGTCCCCCTCCCCCAGGGTCCAGAATCCCGTCAGAGAGGGGGGGGCGGGGGGCACGAGTTTTTCAATGTACCTCCGCTTCTCTTCCTGCAACCACCTCTGCACATCCCCAAGGGCGACGACGGAACGCAATAAGAGTTGTTCGAAGCAAGCTTCCAAATTATCCTGGCGAAGGGCCCAACCACGTGCAGTTGTGACTACCGTCGTTGCGGGTATCGCCTTCGGGGGATCTCCTCATGGGGCTATGGAGCATGCGACGGGTGTGCCGATATGGGGCGGGGCCGCCATGTGGGCGCTGCCATAGGGGCTTCAAGTGGAACCGTGCGGGAAAATTGTGAGGGGTGCGCCGCAATGAGGCGGGGCCGCCGCGCGGGTGGGGGAGACGCATGCGAAGACCGCTGCTGAGGTCTTCGGTGGAGCTCCCCATGGGACAACTACTGACCGAAGAATACGCATGCGAACACCGCCACTGAGGCCCTAGGTGGAGCTCCCTATGGAGCCACGAAGCGCTGTACTGGGCGGGGAATGCGCATGCGAACACTGCCACTGAGGCCTTTGGTGAAGCTCCCTAAGGGGCCACGCAACGCTGGACAGGGTGGGGGAGACGCACGCAAACACCGCCACTGAGACCATCGGAGGAGCCCCTTTTATGGGGCCACGAAGCGCTGCACTGGGCGGCGGAGACGCATGCGAAGACCGCCACTGGGGTCTTCGGTGGAGCTCCCCATGGGGCCACGAAACGTTGAACCGAGTGGGGCGGACGCATGCAAAACATCGCAACTGAGGCCTTCGGTGGAGGTCGCTATGGGGCCACGAAGCGCTGTACTAGGTGGGGAGGACGCATGCGAAGACCGCCGCTGATCCCGGGTAGCTCCCTATGGGGCCACGAACCGCTGCACTGGGTGGGGGAGACGCATGCGAAGACCGCCACTGAGGCCTTCGGTGGAGCCCCCATATGGGGCCACGAATCGCTGTACTAAGTGGGGGGGACGCCGCATGCGAACACCGCTACTGAGGCCTTCGGAGGAGCCCCCTATGGGGCCACGAAGCGCTGTACTGAGTGGGCGAGACGCCGCATGCGAACACCTCCACTGAGACCATCCGAGGAGCCCCTTTTATGGGGCCACGAAGCGCTGTACTGAGCGGGGGGGACGCATGCGAACACCGCCACTGAGACCATCGGTGGAGCCCCTTTGATGGGGCCACGAAGCGCTGTGCTGGGTGGGGGATACACATTCGAACACCGCCACTGAGACCATCGGCGGAGCTTCCAAACTCTCCATGGGGGGCGCGACCGAGGAATGAAGAGGCGGGAGGAGAATGCGGGGCGCTGCCTCTTCAAAAATCCGGGCGAACAAATGAAGACGGTAGTGTGGACACCGACAATGATGATTAAAACGATGATGTTGATGACCGTGATGGTGACGGTGACGATGACGATGACTATGATGGTGATAATGATGAGGATGAAGTTGTTGATGATGCTGATGATTGTGATGATGATGATGATGATGATGATGATGATTATGATGATGATGATCACGATGCTGATGATGATGGTGATGATGATGCTGATGATGATAACGGTGATGATGATGATGGTGATGATGACGATCGTGGTCATGGGAGGAGGGGGTAGCGGGATAAATGATGGAAGGAACGCGGGGCGCTGTCTCTTCAAAACGAAGACCCAACACAACAAGATGGTCGGGAATTATGAATGCGGAAACTGATAATCACACTCTGAACGGAAACTGTTTCAAGCATGTCGCGTCCTAGCGTCGCCGGTTTTACATCGCATTCCCATAATTGTCGGTAAGACGGGCCAGTCGTTTCGCCTGAGCATTCCTGACCGCGCACGATCCTGCAATTTGATCTCAATAATCGTCATAAGGATGGAGGGGGTCGTCTTCGTGCTACTAAAAGCCGCAGCGGCTACACAGTGTGAGCCCGTGCCATCTTCAACACATGGCTCTCGCCTCAGTGCCGCGCACGCTCGTATTCACATCTTCCAACAACAACAGGCGTGGAGGGCGTATATGTTCAACAGTGGGCTGTTTGTTTGTGACGTGCACATTATTCTAGACAGCTAACGGCAGTGGCAAACGATAAAGGGCGGCTCCTTTTCAAAATTGGGTTCCTGCTTGGGCTTTCCTAGAAGTTGAGGACCAGAAAAGTAATCTTGTGCAACGGTTAGGACCTCGAACTTGAGGACCAGGACACGACAGCTCGTTCCCAAACCTGGGCGATCGTCTGAACGGTAGGCCCATCGGATGCTGGTCCTTCGAGGTGGCAGTTCTTGTGCTAAAAGGAAAGCTTTTGCGGCTTTATGAAGGGTGACCTTGGGCTGGGGTGGGGGGCGTATTGCAACATGGTTGGTGCACCTTGGGTTCACTCTGATCTCACTGACAACACCACGATGTCGTTGCCTACTTAACACCACCGTCACCATCATCATCGTCACCAATCATCGTCGTGGTCATCATTCTGCTCATGCTTCCCCGACCAACACTATAAATCCGCAAGGGTCGCCATCAAAAATGCCGCCATGCCCCTCGCCGTCTCGGCAAGGGCGCGCTCCCGGTAGCGCAGTTTCTTGAGCTTGCTCTTGTCGAAAGCCTGGAACGCCGACGCGGCATTCCCGAAAGTCTCCTCAGCAACCGATCCACGAGGGTGGGGAGTGGACGTGGACTGGATAGGAGCCTCCCACATGGGGTCCGCCAATGCTTCGCATCGCATCTGCGTCAGCGACGCATCGGCGTCGGCAGCGAAAAGGACATCGGGCTCCACATCGAGCCGCATCGCCGAGGCATCCGCGGCTCCACATCTGGCACAATGGGGAAGGCGCGGAGATGATGATCTGGGGGGTCAGAGGGAGGGACGTGGAAGCAGAGCGGAGGATACTTTGCGGCAGCATCCGAGACGACCGAACCCATTCGATGAGCGAGAGGCCGATATACAAATACATACATGTGTATATATATATGTACACATACAAGGTAAGGTATATGTGAGAGATGGAGAGAGAGAGAGAGAGAGAAACAACAAAAAACGTAATCCACCGCCGCTCTACTGTGAAACATCCCACCCCTCTTCCTGCGGAGCCTGGGGTTCCCCCCCCTCCGAAAATCCGGCCCCCCGCTCGAACCCCCGCCCCTTCTTTCCCCCAGCCCCCCCTCCTTACCCCTCCCCCCCCTCCCCGAAAACCAAGCGGCGAAAACCGGGGGGGGGTCACTACTGGTTCGACCGCCCTCACCTTCGCACTCGCCGCCGGCAAACAACCCCCGGGTCCCCACCACCGTCCTCATCACCACCCTCACCGCTGTCCCCACCACCACCGTCCCAACCACCACTGTCCCACTGTCCCCAGTGTTCCCACCACTGTCCCTCTGTCCCCACCACTGCCCCCACCATTGTCGCAGTCCCCACTGTCCCCACCACCACCGTCCCACCACTGTCCCACTGTCCCCACTGTCCCCACCACTGTCCCACTGCCCCCACTGTCGCCGCCGCTGTCTCACTGAGCTGTCCTACTGTTCCCACCGCTGTCTCAGAGTCTCCACTGGCCCCACCACTGTCCCCACTGCATCAATGTCCCACCACCGTCCTCGCCACCGCCCTCACCACTGTCTCCACCACCACCGTCCCCACCACTGTCCCACTGTCCCCAGTGTCCCCACCACTGTCCCACTGTCCCCCCGCCACTGTTCCCGCCAATGTCCCACTGCACCCGCTGTCCCCACCACTGTCCAACTGTCCCCACTGTTCCCACCATTGTCCCCACTGTCCCCACCAGTGCCCCCACCAGTTTCTCACTGTTCCCACTGTCCCCACCACTGTCCCCACCACGATCCCACTTTCCCCATTGTCCCCACTGTCCCCACCAGTGTCCCACTGTCCCCACTGTCCCCACCACTGTCTCACTGTCCCCACTGTCCCCACCGCTGTCCCACTGTGCTGTCCCACTGTCCCAACTGTTCCCACCACTGTCCCACTGCCCCCACTGTCCCCGCCGCTCTCCCCACTGTATCACTGTCTACACTGTCTCCGCCACCGTCCTCAATACCGCCCTCACACTGTCCCCACCACTACCGTCCCCACCACTGTCCCACTGTCCCCACCACTGTCCCACTGTCCCCCCGCCACTGTTCCCACCACCACCGTCCCCAGCACTGTCCCACTGTCCCCACTGTCGCCACCTCTGTCCCACTGTCCCCACAACACTGTCCCCACCACCACCGTCCCCACCACTGCCCCACTGTCCCCACCACTGTCCCACTGTCCCGATGAGCGGGAATCGTTTGCTGGCGGCAAGGGGGGGGGGGTCGAACCGGTAAACACCCCCTCGTCTTTTCATGATGGACTGGGGGGGAGGGGGGGTGGTTCGAGCCAATAGTGACCCCCCCGTTTTCAAGGTGGGGGGGAGTTCGGGTTGGGGCCCCCCAGTGATCCCCCCGGCTTTCCGCCAGCAGCGGTATAACACGCTGTTTCAGAAATAAACAAATAAATACATAAATGAATGAATAAATAAATAAATAAATGAATAAACAAATAAATAGAGAGAAAGAGAAAGAGACAGAGAGAGAGAGAACAAAAAAAACGAGAGAGATGCGACACGCTGAGACCGCGCCGCCCCCCCTCTGCTGCCCCTGCAAGGGGCCAGGGTGTGCAAAAGACTACCCCGCGAGGCCAGGGCAGTTTACACCTGCGGAGCAGCGCAGGCTGCCGTGGCCGGAGGATGCCGTCGCTGACCCTGCGCTCCTCGCCGCACGTCCCGCGAGGCCCAGGCAGAAGCTATGCAGGGAGAGAGCCCGTGGAGCCAGCGCCGCGAGGGCCTGCGGCGGGAGCCTCCCGTGGCAGGGCAACCGCCGAGCTCTTGGCGAGGAGGATCTCGCGGCCGGCGTGCCAAACCTCGTGGCCGGGGCAAGCGGAGAGCGGCGGCAAAGAGTGGCTGCCAGCGGCTCTGCTCTTCGGGGAGGGGGCCCTGCCCCTGGGCCGCGGTGTGCCGCTTGTGCGGAGCCACGCCGCCACCTGATGAATTGCGCGATGGGCCCCCCTCCAAGACTGTCCGCCCGCCCCAATGGCTGGCGAGGTGCCCGCTCTGACCCGACGTGAGGACGATCCCCGGCGCGGGCCAAGGCGCTCGGGCGGATGGTACTGGGGGGGTGGCCTGAATGAGGAGTGTTGGAGCCAGCAGGGGAAAGGCCCCTTGACAGGGACGGTCCGAGTGGGGAAGGAGAATCGCGCCACATCGTCGATGCATCGTCGTTGCATCGGCGACGTCGGCGCGGAGAAAATCGGGCCTCGCCGACAGCGAACCCGAATCAGAATGAACGAGAACTGCTGTCGGTCTCTGTGCCCACTCTTCCCGTATCCATTTTGATCGACCCGAAGAGAGCGGTGACCCAGGGGACCCCCGGAGGGCACGGCGGGGGGGCGGCCAGGGCATGACACACACCCACAGCGAACAGGAAGCTCCGAACAGACAACCTAAGTGAAACCCGCAGGCTAAACATAGGCGCGCGCGCTCAAGGAGACCTGAAGAGAAGAGAAGAAGAGAGAGAGAGAGAGAGAGAGAAAGAGAGAGAGAGAGAGAGAGAACGAGACAAGAAGGACAGAGTAGAGACAGGATGTGCCCAACCCAAGCTCCTGTGCTCCTGCGCTTCGCTGGCGCGGCACGGAGGGGAAGGGAGGGAGTGCCCATACCAGATGCCACCTTGCAATGGCCCACTATCCAACTGAAGCTCCTCTGGGCATCCCCTTACGAGCGTGAAGCTGGGCCTCTGCCCCCCTGGGCGTGGCGCCCCCCCTCCCCCCGAGCGGCCGAGGGGTCGGCGTGCCGAAGTGAGCTAGGCAGCGCCGCCGTGGGCAGGACGCACAAGGGCATACTCACACGTACTAGTGCGGTCGGACCTGGGACAGAAGAACATCCCTCAAGAACATGAGACCCTCCGCTGGCCAAAACAGACGGAACATCCAAGGGTACCCTCCCCAGGGTGCACAAGAACATTCGACAACCACCAAGAACATGAGGGTACCCTCCCCGAACCGACCTCGATCATATACCTCGGTCCGACCGTGCAATGTGTCCTCCTTGGAGGCGTGCGTCCGACCCGACCCTGTAGCATCACCATTTGTGGTATATCGCTTCCCGGGCGGTATGGCTAGCACGCGCCCGCCACGGAGCTTCTATTGTGAGACTTCTTGGCGCGCGCGTCGCCCTTGGGAGGGGGGGGGGGGGGGCAACGCACACGTCGCATCAATATGCTGGGGTGGCATGGTGGCACCGAGTGGGTGCCCGAGCGCGTCTGGAGCGAAACGCCGCAGGCTGGGACGCCAGTGGCCCAGAACAGGGCTCGACTCGCCACCGCTCGCAGGAGCGTGGAGCAGCGTGGAGCTGGAGGTGGCCTGGAGGCCGGCCCGCGCTGTTGGCGGTGCGCGAGGGCGTGGGCTCTGGGGAGGGGTAGGGACGGGCAAAGGCTGGGGCAGAGATGGGAGTGGGAGGGAAGAGGAGATATACATATATATATATATATATAGAGAGAGAGAGAGAGACAGAGGGAGAGAGAGAGAGCGAGAGCGAGGGAGAGAGAGAGAGAGAGAGGGAGCACAGAGAGAAAGGGAGAGAGAGAGAGAGAGAGAAGGGAGAGAGATGGATAGAGAGGGAGCAAGAGAGGAAGAGAGGAAAAGAGCTAGAGGGAGAGATACGAGAGAGAGGGAGCGAGAGAGAGAGAGAGCAACAAGAAACGTGAGCAACCGCTGACAGGCACATACTGGCCCCCGCACGGGGCGTAGGGCACAAAGCGAGGTTAGGGGAGGGGGAGGGAAGGCCTTGCCTGCTCCTCCTCCTCCTCCTCCTCCTCCTCCTCCTCGCTAGCCCCGAGCCCCTTTCGGCCTCAACGGGGGTCTTCTGGGAGCGCACTTGGAAGGGGCGCAGCCCCCAGGGCCTCTCGGACGACCTGGCATGGCATAGCGGGACGGCAGCGACGCTTCTGCTGCCCCGTGGAGGCAGATGTCGGCGAGGCCCAGCCAACCTCGCTCGAGACGCGGAGTGGATCTGGACCTCGTGGAGAGGGCTATGGCGGCGGCGGTGATGGCGGCGGTGGCGGCCGTTGTGCCAGCCAGGCCCCAGCCACGGCCAGTGTTGCAGGCGACCATCGCAGGCCCCGATGTTGGCGGTCGAGCATGGTGCGATGGAGGCGGCAAGCAAGGTGGCTCCACCCTCGTCGCTACCAGGGCGCTGGTCTCCTCTTCCTGTTCGTGTGCGGCTTCGAAGGTGGAGCAGGACCGCCACGGAGCACCTGGCGACGGTGGAGGGGCTTCGGGCACCGTGCGCCGCCCCGAAGGTGTCGGACCCGCCGATGCTGTGAGAGGGCCGCAGCCCGTTGGGCGACAGCAGGACGCAGGACGAGAAGGAGAAACATAAAAAAAACAGAAGAAGGACACGGGCCGCGCGAAGGAGAATCGAAGGCGCAGGAGGAGCCGCTCTCGTTCCCCGCGGCTGGTGGCCCGAAATACCTCGGCAGCCACCGCACGGAGTGGCACGACATCCGGAGCGAAGCCGGCAGCCTCGCGTGTCTCGAGGACGTCGATGAGGAGGTCGACCCGTTCCAGGAGCTCATCGTGAGTGAGTTCAACGGGTTCTACGCGGATAGTTCGAGGACGGGGGCGCTCTGAAGTGCAAGAAGTCGTTCCCGATGCTCGCCGGCGAGCTCGTAGAAACAGAGCAAGAGAAGATCGCGCAGCCGTCCCTAGCCTTCTGAGGGGGACCTCGGATTTGGTTGTTCGGAGCACTTCGTGAAGCCGACCCTGTAGCCCTGCGGGGAGGAGCTTGCGGATCGAGGCCCTGGCGGGATCGTCGCCAAGGATGTGTCGGGGTTCTAGCAGGACTTGTCCAAGCTCAACCTCAGCATGTACAAGAAGCAGGTGCAAGCCCGCGCCCAGCGGGAGGCCGCGTGGAGCCTCCAGTCGGACAAAATGGTGCAGGTCTTACACGGCGACAGGTGCCAACATCAGGAGGAGTGCGTGCAGAAGGCGCCAATGCCGAATCCCTAATAGGACCATCAAGGTCATGAGGACGAGCAGCTGGAGGACAAAGATGCCAACAGCGTCGGCCTCAAGGACGTTCACAATGGCGAGACTGGTGTGGTGCAGCTGATGAGGGACTGGTTCGGCGAGGTCCTCCAAGTGGTGGAGGCCGCAGGTGTCGATCGCACCGCCTCCATGCGCTGGCTGCAGGACCAGCCTGAGTACATCGCCATCGGCATCAATTTCTCCGGAGCCGGCGGCGGCTGATCGTGCCGTTCGGTCAGGCGGCCGAGGACTTCTTGAGGAAGCAGGCCGAGGTCTGAAAGGATGGGGGGGGCGGCGGGGTGGGAACTACTCGAGACTGCTTCGTGGTTTGTGGTTTTGCTGTCCATGTCTCTCCTCCCGGGCCCTGGGTGGGCCTGCACGGCCGTTTCCGTGGTTGGGCTCGTTGTGGCTTGAAGGTGTTTCGCCTCATCGCAGTTTGGGGCAATCCCTGCCCTGCTGCGCGCGGCTGTGGTGCCGAGCCGATCTTTGGATTGGATTCAGTCAGTCCATCCTTGCTAGCCCCTCCTCCTCCTCCTCTTCCTCCTCCTCCTCCTCCTTCCCCTCCTCGCTGGCTCCTCCTCGTGCTCTTCCTATCCGCCTCCTCTTCGCCGCCACCTCCTGCTGCTGGTCCTCCTGCCTCCTCCTCGTCCGCGCTGCTGGAGGATGGCAGACTGGCAACGAGAGACCCTCATCCCCCTTGCGAAGCAGCCCAGGCCCAAGGCAATCTCGGCCGAGGCACGAGCCCTGAAGGGAGCGGCGCGTCTCCCCGACGAAGATGTGAAAGTGCGCGAGGACTTGCGCCTCGTAGGGGTCAAGTTCCTCGGTGGGCGAGAGGCGGGAAGTGGCGCGAAAACGCAGACAAGATCGGGACAAAGTCGGAGCGGGATAAACATCTGGATGTATTTGAGATCCCGCGGTTATGGGATGCGTCTGGCGCCGCAACCTTCTCAGAGCGATACTCTGAATAAAGCGTTCTGGAACGCTCTCCGGTCCAGATCCTTTGCCTGCCTGAAACGCCGCACGTGGAGCCGCATGCAACCACTCAAAAACGGAATCCAGAAAGCGCTCGAGGCATGCAACATGCGCCTGCAGGAACAACAAAGCAAACGCCTGAGAATCGGGCAGGGGGGGGCGCAGATGACTCTCTAAGGGCATCAATGGATTAATTGGGGATGCCTCGGGGCGGAAGAGTGGCGAGGGCGACAAGTCAGCTCGGCAGGGCATGGTGTGCCCTGTGGAGCAACGGTGCGGGAACACCAACGAGAGACCAATGTTCGACACGTGCTCCCACACAGGCGCGCCCACTCTCGATTGCCAGTGGCGCGTTGAGACGGCATCCTCGCGGTACTTGAGAGATGCACACTATGGTGTTCCCAAGATCGAATGTTTGCCTCAGCAGCTTTGCGGTGGCATCGGTACTTGTGAAAACCTGAACGATCGAGAATTTCCGATAGCTCAACTCAATCGGCATCAACCGAGTCCAGGGCACTGGCTGCGCTCAACCTGGAACGCCCTCTCTAGGGCAGGGCCTGGAATCGAATCGATGAATCGGATCGGCGATCGAAACGAATCAGATCGGCAAAAGTCGGCAGCCGAGTCGGGAGAGGTCGAATCGGCGGAAATCGGCAAGTTAGTAAACCTCCAGTGAGACATCGGAATCCGAATCGGGATCCGAAGTCGAACCGAATCGGAAGCCTTTGCAATCGAATCGAATCGGAGGAATCGGAAGGCCCCCTCCGCGTCAACGCGGCGCGACCCTACCGTACGCAGGAGGATGGGAGGTCAGGCGCAGTGCCTGCAACGAGGCAGCTCGCGGCCGCTCCCTGACTCGCCTCGAGCCCGTCTTGTGCGGTTACTTTGCCCTGTTGCGTCCCATTTTGGGCTTGGACCCGCCGCGCGACCGCTGACGCCACGCCAGAATACTGTAAAGGGGTACAAATACAACTGATGGTCAGGATGCGCGATAAGGATGCAGGCTCCTTGCACGCCCGTGTCGAGACCCTTCGAGCGGGGCTGGCCATCGGAAGGGGCTACGGATGGACCGAGGAGGCAAGGATGCAAGGGGGACCCTTGGGAAGGTGACCCTTTCGTTTGCAGCCCTCTGCTGGAGGTCACCAGGGCGGTCTTGTGAGCACGCAGTCGCGGGGAGCAAGGCGAGTGTCCCGAGCCAGCCCCGTGCATTTGTCGGTTTCGCACGTGTACTTTCGCAAGATGACCTCAAATGCTCCTCGATGGCCCTTACCGCGAAAATATACACATGTCCGACGATGCCGAGCCCAGGGTAATTTGGCCCTTGGGGCCCCCAAACGGTCCGCGGACAGACCTAGATGAGCAAAACAGCAGCTGCCAAGACATACACTTCCGGAGGTCCGCGTAAATTTCTGTAATCGGCGCTGACCCCTCTCCCCGGCGCGCAGAGCGCGCAAGAGGCGGCGCCGGAGGCGCCAACAGGGGGGCTCAGCGCAGATTCACGAAATCCACGAGAAGCTTCGAAAGCTTATGTTGATGTAGTTTTTTGTCCTTCGATGATTGGGCCGATGGGATTCGCAAGTCGTTGAGCAACCTGCAGTGCTGCCTCGCCGCGACATGGAGGCGGCTCCTCCATGGACACGTACCCGCTGTCATCCTTGTCGAGCGTCTTGTACAGAAGCCGCACGTCGCCCTGCCAGCCCATGTGGGTGCACGCCTGAAGTGCGTTTTGGGGGGCGGAGCAAGGGAGAGGGAGAGTGAAACGAAGAAGGAGGGTGAGAGAAGCCGTTTCGACACGATGCTCGATGGTGTGCCAGGCCGTGGCAATATCACAACATTCTGCGAGCGCCACACGTGCGCACGCCATCACGCCAGATCCTGCCAGCACCGCGAGTGCCCATGAGCGCCACGATACTTCTGTGAAAACCAATGCACGCCTGTGAACGGCTTGCGGGCTTTCGGTTAATGCTTGGAGGCCAGGAGGGAGGGGGAAAAGCATGCGCTATGCCTAGGATATGGTTTAGTCTCGAGGTCTAGAGGCGGGGACAGTCGGTCCTACTACCACAGCACTTTTTCGCGTCCAAGTCCTCCTGCAGGAGGAAGGCGAAAGGAGAAGGACATAAACAAGGCAAGGGAGAAAGATCGAACACAGCCGCGACGGACAGATCCTTCGACGCCAACCTCTCGGAGCCCGTTTCGGGCCTGGGGCCCGTCACCCGGGGTGAAACACCGCCTGAGATCCACCCGACACGCCACTCTGGGAGGAGGACACCGAGAGAGCGAGAGATCGAGGAGTCGAGGATCGACAGAGCGAGGCTCGAGAGGTCGAGGTCTGAGGCCAGGGGCCTTCGAGGAACGAGAACCGAGAGATCGAGGATGCAAGGGGCACCAGTCTTGAGCGGACTCCGGTCGGGACACCCCGCGGCCGGGACACCCCGCGGCCCGACCCCCCTGCGGGGTTCTGAGCTGACTGCAGCCAAAGTTCCGACGCGGGGATCCTTGGACAAGGAACAGCGCGCCTCTCTGGGCCAGAGCTGCGCCCAGGTGCACGAGGGGGGGTCAGAAATTGAGCACCGAGCCCAGTCAAACCATGGTGGACTTTATCCCAAACGTTTCACCGTATGTTCTCTATCTTCGGCGTCTGCCATCCTCAGACAACGCGTCAGGCTCAGACAGCCGTCGTTCGGACCAAGGACTGAGAGATAGGGGGGCGGAGGAAAAGGAGGAGGAAACCAAGGGTCGCAAGGGTTGTGATCTCCAGGGTCTCAACGCCTGGCCTGGGCTGCCTCTGGATGGCTCCTGTGAGGAAAGTGGGCGGGCGAGTGTTGCTGCGGCGTTCTCTCTCTCTCTCTCTCTTTATCCCTTTCTCTCTCTCTCTCTCCCTCTCTCTTGTGCAGTCATCGCGCTACCACAAGGAAGTTTGAGGGAGGAACGAATGGGATGTTCTGGGCACGGTGGTCCTCTGCCACGAACCGGTTCCCCGACCTGGATCTGAGGAACGGCCAGAACTGAGCCTGCTGAACCCAAATGGCCCTTCCTTCAGCGTTTTGTTTTTCTCTGGAAGCGCGCTTTCGAACGGACACAACCCAGGGGTCGAGTCCCTGCTTAAGCGAGGACTCGATCCCTCGTCCGTTCAGCACGCGCGCGCAGCCCCACGCTCCGTGAGGAGAACAAAACCGACTGCGGCGCGCGCCACTGCACAAATCCGAGGTGCCTTTCGCACTCTCACAAGTGTCCAGGGAGGTTGTGAAGCCATGTGCCACGTGCTCTCTTGGGGAACGCACGGGCCAGACGCCCCCTTGGACAACGAACCCGCCGGTGCCGTGCGTGTCGCCCCGCTCCGTCGGGCTGGAGGCCCGGAAATGCTCGGGAAGGTGACGCCTTGGGACCGGGAAGTGGACAGGGTGTCGAGCCAAAGCGTGGTCCCTCCTCCCTCCTCCCTCCTCCCTCCTCCCTCCTCCCTCCTCCCTCCTCCCTGGGCCAGAACTGGCGGAGCGACACGCTGTCCAGAAGTTCCCAGCCGTACTCCGACACCATCCAGGGGGGCGTGGGCACGAGAACAAGCAGCTGCATCAACTATCACTGTTGGAGCTCCGCGCGGATTTCCTGGATCGGCGCTGGACCCCCCTCCCTGGCGCGCTCCGCGCGCCAGGGGCGGAGCCAGAGGCGCCGCCAGTGGGGCCCAGCGCCGATCAAAAAAATCCCCGCGGACCTCAGAGCATGCATTTCTGTGCCTCCTTGTATCCTGCGAGGACAGGAGGACGACCCGCGGCACCGGCCTTGAAGACGTCCCCCTTCGACACCACCATCGAGTCGGTGGGGCTGAGCGCCATGCGCCTGCGCGCCGACGGCCGCCGCCGAGGCCGACGCCGCGCGCCCTCGGCCCAATGCCGCCGGAGGGCGCCGATTGGCCAGCGATCGGGTGCCGAAGGCAGGCGGTCAAGAAAGAGGGGGGGGGTCCTGCTCCTCCTCCTCGTCCTCCTCGTCCTCCTCCTCCTCCTCCCTCCGCGCAAACTCGTCGTAAAAATCACAAGAGCTTCACGGATGGAGGGTGGCTGTTTTCCAAAATGTGACTCTCGCCTTAGCGCTGCGCACATTCTTCTTAACCTTTTGCAGCAGTGTCAAATATTATCATGGTGAACGTCCAATAAGTGGCGTTCTGGCGTGATGTCGGATTTTCAGGGCGTAACAATCAGGCTGATTCGCGGTGTTGAAGTCCCAGGATGTTTGTTCTCTTACGATTCGGGATCGTCAAGACGCAAAAACAAGGGTGATTCAACGCTGGACGAAAACGGCCTGGGACCGACACCGACGGACCTGGACCCGCACAAACGACGGCCGCGACGCCCTCTCGCGAACCGAAAACGGAAAATTCCTGAATAGACGAGTCAGGGTAGGAGGTTTATCCACCTCCGAGTGATTCACGGCGTTGAAGTCTCAAGATTGGCTTTCTGAGACAGTTCTGGATTTTCAAACGGTTGTCTTCCAACGGGGCGCTTCCCTCAATGAAAATGAATCCTTGTAGGGGCCTGAGAAGAGGGAACTTGGAGGGAGGGTCTACTGCAAGTTCGTTGATGAGTCTTGGGTTTACTCTGGTCCTCCTCCTCCTCCTCCTCCTCCTCCTCCTCCTCCTCCTCCTCCTCCTCCTCCTCCTCCTCCTCCTCCTCCTCCTCCTCCTCCTCCTCCTCCTCCTCCTCCTCCTCCCCCCTCCCTCCCCCTCCTCCTCCTATATCCGCCTCCTCATGGCCCTACGCCCAGTACACATGTGCACAGCTTCTTTAACATTCGCAAGAACTCACCCCCTGGGAATTCGACAATGCTACAGCCAGCTCAGAATTGTCTGGACTGCGCGGGTGGTAGCGACTTGGATTGTCGAGAAAATTGGACGGTGGGCGAAGTTTGAGAATGCAGCACAACTGAGCACCCATACGTTTGGACATAATGACATTATAAACATTGAACAGTGGAGACAAGTTGGACGGCCACATGACATCAGCAACTTGAAAATATGCAGCGAGGCAAGAGGGTCAACAATCCATCATCGGCATGTCAGAACTTACATCTGGGATTATAATGGGGAATATGGGCTGCGTTTTAGGTACCACTATGAATGTAATTGCACCTGATACCAAACATACGAATGCCAGCCTTACGTTCACAAGACAACACGACCACACAGCGGAAGCAGATATTTGTGGACGATGATGAATCAGATGTACGTGGACGAGGATGAGTCAGATGCCGAAGCCATGATGCAGGCCCTGCCCGAGGACAAGTCAACGGAGGTGTTCGACATTCCTCCTGGGTGGTATCGCAGCGCCTCTTCGAGCTAAATGTAACCGAGAGCTGCGCATTCACAACTCCAGGAAGCTTCGCACGCTGGCCTCATAGCATGTGTGTTTAGGCGCCGGCCAGGAAACATACGGCCTCGTAATCTTGAGCGCTGTAGCTGTCTATAAAGCGTGGGAGGAGCTTATGCTGTCTGCGACCTGCGCAGAGTGGACTACCACCTCCCCGCAATTCTGAGCGAATCCCACTCAGCCCTTGCCCCCCGCTCTGCACACCCTCGTACCGACTGCGCTCGCTATCTAGCCTCCCCTCGCTTCCCCCACCGCGCTCAGGGAAGGATCTACGGGGAGTATAGGAGTGGGGCATGATCCACAATGACGCGCTGCTGACCTGCCGCTCGCGTCGCATGCTCTACATGTGGGGCGAGACTCTGTCAGGAGCCGCTCACCGGGATCAGACTTACCAGGGGTTGCGCAGATGAGTTGTTCAGAGACTCGTATCAAAGATAAAGGGGAAACATTTCGCGAAAAAAGAAAAAAGGGGAAGAAACCGCGACACAATCCAACGAGGGTGTAGAAACGGACCCGCAGGGTAATGAGCGGAAGGGAATGTAGCGAAACCCCTGCAGCAAAGTGGGCGCACCTTCGATGCACAGCGACAGTGGCATCATGACGAGCCAGTCCAATGACCACAGGGACAATGAATCATCCTCCGACTCCAGTTCCTTCACTCGGCGGGCGTATCGTTTTCCCAACGGGCAGAGATACGCGAGCCTTCTGCACGATTCGGACATGATGAAGGCGGCCCGTCTGGCTCTTCCAAATGGTATTCGCGTGGGTGCTGGGTTATTCCTACGATACTGGTTCACATCGTGAGAGCGGGCACTGCCATGAGTCCCTCGGGCAATCGCTGACCTAATCCTCTTCTTGATCCGGCAGATCCTCGGCCTCCTCCTCCTCAGGGGAGCCGCACCGACCACAGACCGGCGCCCAGCCCTCGACGGCGAACCCGCTCGCTCCTGGGCGGCGCAGCACCCGCCTGGCACACAGGTCAAGATCGACGGCGAAGGGGCGAATCGTCGATCCCCCGTTTCGTTTTCCTTCCCCCGTGACGCTCCGGAGACCCAGGTTTGCACTTCTGGCACGCTGGGTCCAAAAAATAGAAGAGTTGATGCTTCACGGGACGCTTCGTCCAGCGCGATTGCCTCTGCCTTGAAGACTGCTACACGGCAGACTGCCTTGAAGACTGTGCGCGCCCAGTCTCCCCCTTGAAGGACTTCATGCCCTCCTCCTCGCCCTCCTCGCCTTCTTCTAATTATCCACTCCCACCCCATGTGCCCGCTGACACGCTGAGACCGGCGCCACCCGCGGATGTAGTTGCCATGGGTTCTCTTCAGGAAGGCCTGGCGCCGCATCACCGGCGGTGCCACACAGGGTGAAGTGCGGAATTGGGTGGAACGAGCAAGGGGGAATGAATCCTCATCCTGCTCCTTCCACAAACAGGAGTCAACTCGTGGGAGGTACTCGCAAGAGCAATCGAAGGCTGTGTCTGCCTGGTTGCAACCATTGAGCCAGACAAGGCCAGAATAAGCCCAGGAGTAAGCCCCACATGTACAAAAGGGTTCGACAGAACAAAACCAACACGGGATCCTACAGGATTGGGAAGGTTTTCGGTCACGAATACACTAGCCCCGATGTTGATTTGACCTGCCAAGAGTTATAGCCTAACGCCACCCTTGCCTCCCGCCCCTTCTCACGAGGCGGACGTAGACAGACAGGGGGGGAAGGCAGGATGGGACGGGAAGGAGCGGGAGGGGGGAAGTGGAGAGGGAAGGCGGACCCGGGCAGGGGATGGGGGGGGAAGACGGATTGGGGTGGGTAGGACAAGAACGAACGAACGAACGAACGACCACCGCTGCGGACGGACAAGAGTCAGGACCGAGCTCGGACTAGGCGGTTGTGGCCGTGGCCTCTGGATTCTGGCGTGTCTGGGCACATGCAGTTCGAGGTAATCAAAAACTTGAGGGCAGGGAGGCCACGAAAGGACGAGAGGCAGGAGGGCGGGAGGGGAATGGGGAAGAGACAGCGATATGTGAAGGTAAGGAAGGATTGGTCACGAGAGACGTGATGAGCGCCGTGGATGCTTCGTGCGAACGTAGCCAGTGGAACGACAACGAATGGAGTTCGCGAATAGGCAAGTGGATTAGCCGATCGGCACAGGCAGCAAACGTACAGAAGTATGGGCAAGGGGTGGGGAAGGACGGAGGCGAGCAGTGAGCCGAATCAACCCTCAACGTCTCCTGAAACGCCTTCGCGAGTGCCTCCTCTTCGCGGCCTCATCGCAGTCGGGATCTGGCCGAGGCTGTATGCTGACCGATCGCCTCGCGCCGCTGCCAGCGAGCGAGCGGGCCCGCCTCGCGCCAACAGTCACCGCGCCCAACACAGTGAACACCGCAGAAAGGAACGGAGGGGGGCCGTTCTCGCCACGGCGAGCCTCGGCCACGAGCAGGTTCCCCGACCCAACTCGAAGGGACGGCCAGAAAACCACACAGTCGGACTTGATTGGGGAGGACACGCGAGAGGACACGAGACCCTTCCGACGGCTACACTGCCATGGGAATGTAAAAGGCACGGGTCTCTAAAGACAGGACACAAGGTTACCCCTGCCTTGGCAGGGTCAACCTACTAATCAAGGCCGACTGTAGAACCCTCCTGATCCCTCCATGGCCCCCATCTTAAGTGCACCCGCTCGCCAATGTGCAGCGGGCGCAGCCGCAACCGTGCCAGAGCACGGCAAGTTCGTGTCGTGCCGACTTCGGCGTTGGCTCCTGACACTGAGAAGATCGCTCGACGTTGAACGATCGGCCGCTTCAAAAACGCCAGATCCTTCAACCTCGACCGATTCTGGATCGCCGGCGGCGTTCAACATTGCACGCCCGCAGCGGGGTCGCCGTCCGTCGACACGACGCGAACCTACCGTGTGCACTGCTCAGGCTCAGGCCCACAACCTAGTCAAATCTGATAGCAAGGATGCGCGATTATAAAGGATGCAGGCCCCTTGGACGCCCATGTCGAGGCCCTGCGGGCGGGGCTGGCCATCGAGAGTGAGAAAGGAAGAACCAGAGAGGCACGGATGCAAGGGCACCCTTGGGATGGTTACCCATCTAGAGGAACAAAACACGGCATAAACATGAACATTCGGAGGTACATGCGGATGTCTTGCACCTGCGCAGGACCACCCGCCAGGAGGCTCCAACGCGAAAGTTTATGTCTATGCCGCTTGTTTGAGGGGCAACGATCGGGGGGGATAGGCGTACTGGGGGAAACATCGACCTGTAATCGGCGATACATTGCCGACAGATCGGCGACAGGCCCCCGATGACGAACCCGCACGTTCCTTGGCGGGGTGGGGATATCGGGCCCCTTATCGGCGATCAATGTGCGATTGGGGGCCGATGCAGCACCCCCCCTATGCCTATCCCTCGTATCGTTGCCCCTGAGACGACAACCCCGCTTCCTTCGACTGGGGAAACCAGAACGTACCGGTACCGCTACTCCCCGGACCTCTCCTGGGGTGCGTTCTGACCGAAACTTCAAGGCGAATCCAGCGGTGGCGACAAGGGCCCCCCAGGAGGCCCAAACAGGAGGAAATCGATGGCCGTCCCCTATGCCTATCCCCCCCTGTCGTTGCCCCTAACTTTCCTCCTTCGACCATCCTTACCATCGGCTTCGACTGTAACTCCCCGCCGCCTCGCCCGCCGCCCTCCCCCCCACCGCTCCCTCCCCCCACCGCGGGAGCGGCGGAGCGTGAGGCGGAGCGGAGCGGAGCGGGCGCTGGCTTGGGCTGGGAGGCTGAGGCCCTCGACTCTCTTGTGAAGGGACCCATGGACACACAAACAAACATACCCAAATCCCAAGATTCCCAATATCTTCTGGATGTTCGTCTCACCATCCCGCTGCCTTGCCGGCCGTCTGCTATTTTTCGACCTGCCGCCCTATCGCTCTCGCCCTGCTCCCGAGGGGAAACTGAAAGGTACCGATGCCGCTACTCCCCAGACCTCTCCTGGGGTGCGTTCTGACCAGAATTTCGAAGCGAATCCAGCGGTGGCGACGAAGGCCTCCCAAGAAGCCCAAACCGGGGGAAACGGCGGGAAGGGTTAGCCCGTGTGCGCGTCCCGCTCGCGCCCGCCGCGGTTGATGATCCTCAGAACGTGTGTTAGCGCCAACGTGTGCTGGTCCGCACAAGCCCTGTCAATACGACGGAGGTGCTGTAACGATGGCCGTCGCAGGCCGAACAGGGCACAATCGGACCCAGGACAGAATAACATCCTTCAAGAACACGAGACCCTCCGCCGGCAAAAACACACAGAACATCCAAGGGTACCCTCCCGGAGGTTCACAAGAGCACCCAACGAGCACGAAGAACATGAGGGTTCCCTCCCGGAACCGACCTCGATCTTATACCTCGGGCCGGCTGTAACACACGCCCAGGGGGATCATCGACGCGGCCGCGGCGGTCGGGGGCCGAAGCGAGGAATGGGCGCCCGCTCGGGCGCGAGGTGGGCTCCGCTCGTGGAGCGCTGTCCTTCCTGCGCACGCCTCCGCCTCCTCCTCGACAATTACACCATATGAATACCACACTCCTCTCTCCCCTGACTCTGTCCGGAAAATGTTCGGGTTCGGCCCCCCTCCGCGTACGTACTGTTTGCTTACACGCAAGCTTCTGGCAAATCGGTCTTCATAAGTGTTTTTACACATCCGATCTTTTCAAACGTTCAAATCCCACCAGCCCTTTGGGCGTGAGTGGTTTAGAGAGCCCGCTCTGTTCTCAACCCCCCTTCTTCCCCTTCGGGGAGGGGTTTACCCCTCCCCCTACCCCCTCCTCCTGGGCCTGGAGAGGGCGCCCCGCGGGTGGTTGGAGGGGTCTTTTTCGACTCCTGGGAGGGCTAAAAAACGACACCCCTCACAAGGATTCTGGCCCCGACGGGGGGAGGCAGAAAAATGCTCCCCTCTTCTTTGAAGCCAAAATCATTGATGTTACTACGGTTTTGGCCCTATGTTGGCCTTCTGAGGGGGCATCGCTAATTAAAGCTCCCCTCTTCTTTCAAGCCAACATCATTGATTTTACTAAGGTTTTGGCCCCATTGTGGCCTTCGGAAGGGGGCAGCGCTAATTAAAGCTCCCCTCTTCTTTGATCGATTTCCTCCAAGATGGCCCCAAGAAGCGCCCAGGAGGCACCAAGAGGCCCCAAGATGGCCCCAAGAGGCCCCCAGGAGGCCCCCAAGAGGATCCCAAACGGCCCAAAGAGGCCCCCCCGAGGCACCCAAGACGCCGAAAAGCCCATCAGGACGACCCTCTACTCGCCTGGGCGTCGTTTCTGGACGGGCAGGAGGAGGGGCCCGAACGACTCACACCAGGACGAGGGGCCCGAACAACTCACACCACGAGAAGCCCGAACGACTCACACCAGGACGAAGAGCCCGAACGACTCACACCACGAAGAGCCCGAACGACTCACACCAGGAAGAAGGGCCCGAACGACTCACACCAGGACGAGAAGCCCGAACGACTCAAACCACGAGGAGCGCTTTCTCTCCCTCCTCCTCCGCCTCGTCCTTCTCCCGCTCCCACCACAAGGAGGATGTACAAGGAGGCGGGAGGAAGGGGGAGCAGGGGAGATATGCGGGGGCAGGCGGAAACACGCCTGAAAAACACGACTGTCGGCATGCTTCGCTAGAGTTGCTGTTTTGAGATGGGCTGGTGGGGATACGCGAAGCGTGAAGAATTTTGTTCCCGCTACAGCGCTGGCCTCATGTTCGGGCTTCCGCTCGTTCCGGGTCGTGCTTCCGCTGCAACGCCGACCTGAACTCCGCGCTTCCGCTCATTCCGAATCGTGCTCCCGCTGCAACGCGCAGCGCTGGCCTCAATTTCCGCGCTTCTGCTCGTTCGTTCCAAATCGTGGTCCCGCTGCAGCGCTGGCCTCATTTCCAGCGCCATGCCATGGCATGCAATGCAATGCTATGGTGTGCTCCGCTGTGCGATACCATGCCTTCAGCTGCAGCGCTATGCTATGCAGAGCTTGACTACGCAGTGCCACGCCATGCTATGCCATGCTACGCGTTGATCTTCAACGCCATGGTATGCCATGTAATGCTATGGCATGCTACGACATCCGACTGCGAGAACGGAGTGAAGATCTACGCCAAGGTAAGGGATGGGAGGGAGGGGTAGGACGACAGATAAGACGCTTGTGCACCTAACTTGTCTCCATCGCCTCCTCCTCCTCCTCTTCCTCCTCCTCCTCGTCTCCAACCCTCCTCCTGAACCCCCCGGCTCCTCCTTATCCCTCCATTGATTCACCTCTTCCTCCAACTCCTCGTCACTGTCATCCGTCTGACTGTGGCCCCGTCGCTTCGCCTCGACCTCCTCCTCCTCCTCCTCCTCCTCCTCCTCCTCCTCCTGCTCCTCCTCCTCCTCCTCCTTCTCTCCATCTCCCGCTCTTCGGCATCCTCTTCCTGACGGGGGGGTGAAATGAAGAGGGGACGGGAGGCGAGCCCTGCACGGTGCCTTGAAGTCATTCAGACATGCGCGGCCGCCCTTCCAGGTGGACTTCCTCGGGGTCGAGCGGTCGCGGTTGCAGGCGAGCTGTCGCGGACCGCCAGTATGGTACAAGAGCAATGTGTGTGTGTGTGTCCCTTCCTCCCTCTTCTTCCTCACCCTCCTCCTCGCCTTCCTCCTCCTCCTCCTCTTCCTCCTCCGTCTCCTCCTCCTCCTCCTCCTCCTCCTCCTCATCCACTCTCCTTCTCTCTCCGCTTCCCCCATCCTCCTCCCTTAAAGCCGAACGGGTCAAAGGCGAGCTACGAGCTCCAGTAAGAGTTCCAGAATGTTTGTATATTTCGCTCTCCCGCGCGTCGGTCCCATCACCAGGCCAGAACTGGCCCAGAACTGGAAACTCTGACCAGAGATAGTTGATCTGCTGGGCGCGGCCCTCAGGACCCCCACGACAGCCCCAGGATCGCCTCAAGGAAGCTCCAAGAGATCCCACGAGCGGCCCATGAACGGGGATCAATGGATTGACAGGCCCCAACATGGCCCCGGTAGACCCCAAATTAACCCAGAGGTGACAAAAGACATCTCCCAAGAGGTCAACAGCAGATGCTTTGGCAATAACCCCTTACGCCTCAAGATGGTTCAAACATCGCCCAAGATGGTCCCAAATTGGGACTGCAAGGGCTCGAAAAGGGCTCCGAAGACTCAACAGGACGTCCCCAGAGAGACATCAGAGAGCTTCTACAGTGTCCCAGAACGACACAAGACTGGGGATACGTGTGGCAGGCCCCAAGATTCACCCAAGACAGCCCCGAAAGGACCCAAGGTAGCCCAGAGGTGGTCCAAGATGGTCCAAGACAGCCCCCAAGGGAACCCAGAAGCCCAAAACCTTCGAAAACGCAGGATTGGTTCATGCTTCTGGCATTCTCGCCCTTTGTCGTCCCATGGGCTTCTTAAGCCTCAAAAAAGCTCCATCACTGCCAAACATGGCCCCCAGTGGGGCTGGAAGGGCTCCAAGAGGGCCCCGAAGACTCCCAAGAGCGCCCCAGGGGAGGCCCAAGCCATGAGAGCTCAACGATAGCTCAGATGCGGAACCAACAGAACTGAGGCCTCAACATGACCCTTCGGTTGACCGCCTACCATACCACCCCCTAAGCCGAAGACCCCAATTTCGTGTTGGGGGGGTTTACTGGTTCCACATGCGTTTCTTCAATGATCCCCGACGCCCCCCCACCAGCAATGGAGGGCAAATTGGGCCGTCGGGTTGGGTTGGGGTGGTTCGGTGGGTGGTGAGAGATAACCAGGTTACCTAGCGGTGACAAAAGACAACCTCCCAGAGGCCAACAACAGATGGTGGTTCGATGAATTCGGCTTCCGCCTTTCCGCTTCCTATGAGCTTTTCCAACCTCAAGATGGCTCCAACATCGTCCCATTTGATTCCACATCGGGACTGCAAGGGCTGCGGGTCAAATGCGAAAAACTATTAAAACACATGTAGTCACGAATCCTGTACAGAGAAGAGAAGACCATGACATAGATTGTCAACGAAATTCTAATGCCCGTGCATCGGGTTTACCCAATCGAAGAGCGCGGTCAGAGATTCAAGCTCCCAGGATTCTCAGAGGTCCGAGAAAATGGACCACGAAGCCTCAAGTGCGGCACCTGATCGACCAAAAGATGACTCGCGGGGCCCTCTTGGGGCCATCTCGAATGTCGGCGATAAGAGGACAGGCGACACTCATGGAGGAGGAAGAGGACGCCGAGGACAAGAACGAGGACGATGAGGGCGAGGATGAGGACGAGGAGGAGAAAGGGGAGGAGGAGAAGGACGAGGAAGAGGAGGAGGAGGAGGAGCAGGAGGAGGAAGAAGAGGTGGAGAAGGACAAGACAAGACAAGACCACTTACGAGCCAGTTGTTCGATGTCTTGAGGACAAACGTCATCGCCGACGACTTTCAGATCCTGGAGGCCCAGATGGAACGACAAAACTTCAGGGAGGGGCCGCCGTCGCCCTGATGGGCCCCCCTCGGAAACAGACTCTCCAGAGATGCCCAGACTCCGAGACTACGACGAGGTCGTCGCCGTCTTCACCCTCGGCGTCCCTGGGATCCGACGTCTCGACCACATCGAGGCATCGCCGAAAACCACGACTGGAGCCCCAGGCCCAATCCTTCTCTGAACCATCTTGCCCAAGCCGCACCGATCTGCGAGGGCACCGGGGCCCGAGTCTGGGGGGACACGCCGGGCTCGAAGCAGTAGAGACGCCAGAACTTCAGGGGTCTTCGTCGTCGTGGCCGCCCGCCCTTGGTTGGCGGCACGCGCAAGGGGGTGGAGGGGGGGGGGAAGGCTTCTTCGCAGGAGACTGCTTCTTAGCAGGCGCCGGCCTTACGTCTGCAGACAAGGCCCCTATACAGACGCGAAGCACGGGCTCTTTTGAGAAGCCCTTCCCCCTCCCCCGTCCCCCCTCTGCGCGTGGCCGACGCCACTCAGGGCGCCGAGCGACCGGGGGCAACGCCGCCCGGCCCGCCGCCGGTCCTCAGCGCGTTGGTCAGGGCGGCCTTTTTTCGGGCCTGCTCCTTCCGGGCGCCGCCAGGGTCGGAGAGGCAGCGATCGGGGGCGGGCTGGCTCAGAGGGGGAGGAAGCGCTGAGCCAGAAGCGGCGACGCGTCGCGTGCAGATCGGCGGTCGGTGGCGGAGCCGCAGGCTCCAGTTCCAGTGCAGGCTGCCAGGCCACCCTCGGCGATGAGAATGGGCGATTTGGGGGGACGGGCGAGCAAGCCCCGGACAGCAGAAGCATCATCGTGCAGGGCGGGGGCTTGTCCATATCCGCCGCCTGGGAACCGACGTCCTGGTGCACGCACCAGCGGGCGGTGGATATGGACATATGTTGGTCCCCAGGGCCCCGAATCTATATCCACGGCCTACGGCAGTGGTTATGGATAAACCCCCGCCTCGGAGTAGCAGTGCCACGACAGTCCGACGACTCGGTGTGTGACCGTTGCCGAAGCATCAAGGCTTGAAACACGCGGCAAAACTCTCATGCAACAGTCGCGGTCTTGCCGTGAGAAACGAAGCCCCCTGTTCGCGCCAGCCGCGCCTGGACTTACGAAGAGTGCCCCCTCCACTCCCTGCCGAAGCCAGTTGTTTCTTTCTTCACGGTCTGACATGTGTGCCCCGCGGCTGGAGGGCTAGCTAGCATTGGCACCACGCTAGATTGGGCAATCCTCGACGTGGCATTTCGTGCCCTCCTCTCGTACCGTGCTTCCTCTGCTTCGTGCACTGCAGCCCCTGCTTCAGCCCTGGGGTGTGGCCGTAACGCCGCCCCGCGCCCACTGCCTGGTGGCGCTGCACTGGCTGGCCGCCCCGGCCGCTCCGCGGTGACGCGCCTTGCCATGTGAGTGCCCAACTCCCTCCTCCCGCTCGGCTACACGCAAGAGTGACCCTGGGTAAGAGTGACCTTTGGTGCGCGGCTTTCTGGGGGCCGCGCGGGGACCAAACACGAGGGCGCAGTCGCTACTATCGCATCGCATTCGGCGATCGGGGGACAATGGGCCCGCACCAAAAGTCACTCTTCCGTGTGACCGATCCCGCTTCGAGGCCGCTTCCTACCGCCGGTTGACTTGCAATTCTCGTTTCCCGGACCGGCTGAGCGCGCATGCGGACTGCCTCTGCCGCGCTGCGGCGTGCCCCGCGGCTTCTCCGGCCGCCCGGTCGGCGCGCCAGGCCGGTGGAGTTTGCGCCTGCTGGGCCCACGAGCGACGGGGTCCACCCCACAAGAAACGGGAGCGGATGCACGTGGAACTGCGGCATATCGGACCATGGAGGGGGGAGCCGGGATTAGTCGTGTCCCCGATCCTTATTCGACACAGGTATGTACTAGAATAGCGCGCGAGCTTCGCGCGCGCTCAGGTTCTAGCCAAGGCAGAGCCAGCGTCATATTTATCAGCGGATGGGTACGTACGCCATCCCACCACGATCACCACGTGGGAACACCTGCGTTATCGTACGACGCGGGCATACATATTTGAATAGCGTCTCCCCACCTATTCTGGCCCATCCTTCACAGGGATCGTGCCCTCAGGGAGCTCCACGTACGGCCCCCCACCCACTCACAGGGAGCTCCAACTACGGCCCCATCGCATAGCGGCACACCCCTCACGCGGATCGTGCTGCCCCGCAGGTGAGTGCACTTAGAGGGACACTTCGCATAGCGGCGCCCCACTCACGTCGGCACACCTCTCACACGGATCGTGCCCTGCAGAGAATTACACCTACGGCCCCAGAGACAAGGTTCGCATCCCGCCCCCCCGCCTACTTCGGAGTACCTCTCGCTCTGATCGTACCCAACATGGAGCTCCACCGACGGCCCCAGGGACAAGATTCGTATAGCGCCCCCCTCCCCCGCCCATTGCGGCACACCCATCACGCGGAACGTGCCCAAACGGGAGCACCACTCACAGCCCCAAGGACAAGGTTTGCAAATCGTCCCTCCGCCACGTCGGCACACCATTCTCGCGAATCGTGTCCTGGAACGAGATCCATTTATGGCTCCAATGGACAACTTCGCATGGCGTCCCCCCGCCTACTTTGGCACATCCTCACACTGGCCACGCCCCACAAGCTCCACCTGCGGCCTCAATGGGCGGGTTCGCTCGAGGGCACCCGGATTATTCCGCACCCCGTTCGTACGGATCGTGCCCCACACGGAATTCTGCGCGCTTGTGCACGCTTTCTCTGCAGCAGCCCGCTATCAACTTAGTCCCGCACCCTGCCCTACACATAATTGCATTGGGATGGGTCCGTCGACAGGCCGGTTGTTCGCACGTCCATGGCCTTCGGACCCTACCGCCACCGTGCCCGAGCTTTGGGCAGGAGGCTTCTTGGATGCCTATCAGGAGGGGGGCCTCTTGGCATGCTTCTCGGGCGCCTCGTGGAGCGAGCTTCGAAGCTTCTCGAGGATTCTTCCTGTCCCGCGCGCCAGGATCGTACGAAACGCGGCTCCCCGGCCGAGAAGCCGGCGTGCCGCCTCCACACAGGGGCAGGGCGTCCCCCCTCGTCCTCATGACCCACGCGTCTGATAATGTTGACGTCGTCGCCCTCTGGCAGGGCACTTGGCGCCCAGTGACCAGCAGCACGTCTGCACCCCAGAAGCCGTACGTGAACACCCACAATGCAGCCCTGGATGTTGCTCTTCTGCGAGCCAGACGCGGATTCAAATGACAGCTTCAGCTTGAAATTATCTGCGTGCCGCTCTGGGAGCTTCTTGCCGACGATGGGCGTACCGCCAGGACAGCGCGGTGCAAATCTGTCCACAGCGACTCGCGCTGCTCCGCTCCAGCTTCGCTGAATGTGCGCGCTGAGCGTATTAAACAAAGCTTACCTTCCGATCTCGCGGAAGTAATGTACCACTTCCTTCACCAGTGCACGTTCCCCTCCCTCTTGCAGGGCGCGACGTCGAATGCACGTCTGGTCGCTCTTATGGAGGTTGTCGAGGTATGACAGAAATTCTGACTTCGATTCGTGTAATTAATCAAGATCATACACTTTTGTCGACTCCCCTTCGAGCTTGCACTTTGCACCAAGACTCTCAACTGCCGTGGGGGCCTGTTGGACCTGCTGCGTCCATACCTGCACAAGTTTACCACACGTCGCGCGAATGTCTTCGTCAGCAGACTTCCCAGAAAACATGTTCACGATCTTGCCGATCTGGGTTCCCCTCATTACAATGACAACAATGCACTGGAGTACGACGAGGCAGTCTTGGGCCTTGAAACAAGCTGCCGTCGACGGTGTGTAATCCTGCAGGATGCATTTTGACTCAATGGCTGGCGGCAATCGCGTCGCAAGCACCGTGTCCTGCAGCCATGACAGCTCAATCAATGGACCGGCGCCAGGTAATACCGAGCCACTGCGCGAACAGTACGGCCTCGAGCCACACCTCTTGAACCAAAATGGCTTGAACCAAAATGACTACGGAAGCTTCTCGGGGACTCTTGGGGGCAGTATGGGGACCTCCTGGGGCCTCTTTTGGTGCCCTTGGAGGCCTCTTGGGGGCCTGCTGGCGGCCTCGGGGGCCCACTTGTGGCGGAAGACTCGAAATGTCAACTTGAATTCCTCCTCTTGGACCTCTCTTCGGCCGTCTGGACGCCTCTTGGATCGTCTTGGGGCTCTCTCGGGCAGTCCTGGGGCCCTCTTGGGGGGTCTCTTGGGCTGTCTTGGGGCGATCTTGGGTTGCTCTTGGGCCGTCTTGGAGGCAGTTGAAGCCCCAAAAGCGAATATAGCAAAAGTTCAAGTCTTCCTTCAAGAATGTAGCAATTTTGGCATCCTGCGGCCCTCACGGGGGCGATTTAAAGCCTTTTTGGAGCGTCTTCGGGGCCTCTTGGGCCGTCTTGAAATAATCTTCGAGCGTGGTCGTCCCTATTTGTGGCACTCGAAATGGGCACGGAAAACGGGTACGGTGCCGAATATCAAATATTGTCTAAAACCGGCCGCGCCCGCTGATGGGCGGCCTTCCTTCTGTCTCCAATGCACAACGTCCGCGATGACGCCGACAACGAGTCCTGCTCAAAATGAACAGAGACTGCTGTGGCTCTTGGTACCCTTCTTTCCGTAACCGTGTCGACCGTCCCGACTCGACTGTTGGGCCGCTCGCTCTGGTCGCTGCTGCATGTCCTCCACCACTGCTTTGGGCCGCCGGGAGTGGGCCCGAGAGGCCCAGGAGGGGGTCCAAATTTCGGGTGCCGAGAGGAGGGAAATCCGAGACGGTGTCCCAGCCAGGGGCTGGACCCCCGGTACTCCAGAAGATGATGATGATGATGATGATGATGATGATGATGATGATGATGATGATGATGATGATGGTGATGGTGATGGTGATGATGATGATGATTATGATGATGCTGATGATGATGATACGAATACATTCACTAACCAGAGTGGATCCTGAACTGTGATTTGATGCAATAAATGCGATGCAGTGCAGGTGATCCCATCAGTGTGTTGCAATCTAGGGGGTGCAATCCCTGTAGCGCAATGCATGTGGCGCAAAGCATAATAAAAAACTGCAGAGCGCTGCAAAGCGATGCAATGCAAAGCAAGACAAAGCATTGCAAACAAATACAAAACTGCAAAGCAAAACAATAGAAATCAAAACACAACAATGCACGACGTTACAAAGTAACGCAAAGTAATGCCCAGCCATGCAAAGCAACCTGAAATGATAAGCAATGCAAAACAATACTATGCAAAGCAACGCAAAGCAATGCAAAGCAAGGCAAAGCAATGCAAAGCACGGCAAAACAAAGCAAGGCGAAACAATGCAAGGCCGAACAATGCAAAGCAACGCAACACAATGCAAAGCAATGCAAAGCAATGCAAAGAACCGCAAACCAATGCAAAGCGAGGCGAAGCAACGCAATGCATAGCGATGCACAGCAATGCAAAACAAAACAAATAACGACTGGCGGCGTTGAGGCAGCGACGGCGGGCACATAGCCGCCAGACCGGCACAGAGGCCCAGACGACGGGCGGCGACGAGGCGGCGACGGGGCGGCCACGGCGAGCACGCGCCGCCAGACCTGCACGCAGGCCCAGACGACGGGCGGCGACGATGCGGCGACGGGGCCGGCGACGGGGCGGTGACGGCGAGCTCGGCGCCGCCAGGACGGCACGCAGGCCCAAACGAAGCGGCGACGGGGCGGCGACGGCGAGCACGGAGCCGCCAGACCTGCACGCAAGCCCACTTCTTTAGAAAAGAAATCAAAGCCCCTTAGTGCAAGCACTGATTGGGGAATACATACATGCATACATATATAGATGTATATATACACAGGCATACATACATAACATCATATACATACACGTACATGTACGATTACACAAACATGCAAACAAACACACCATACATGTATATGCATGTGCACCTATATATATATATATATAAAGTCAATTTCGGATATATGTAAATGTATATATGTACATATTTTATTATGTATACAAATCACCGCGCTGGGAACCGATCTCTCTGGACATCGGGTGGCAATGAATATGGACCTCTTTGCGCCCCAGGGGGCGCACATCCGCCGCCTTCGTGGGGGGTGCAAGGCTGTGAAAATTCCGGCTGTACTGCGGTCTTGTTGTATGACATGTGTTGCTTGCACCTTGCCTCTCCAGTCCTCTCTCCACCGCACTGTCTACTCAAAGGGGCCGCACGATCCAATCAGAAGCCACCTGGAAATGCGTGTTCCTAGGACGCTGCAAGATTCCTGCAGGAACGCCACCAGACCAACCGAGAGGGCCCACAAGGCCTCCAGGACGGCCCCGAGAGGCCCCCCCAAAGCCCAAGACGTCCAACACATGCCCCAACATGCTCATGCGATGGGCCAGGAGGGCCCCAAGTTGCTCCCCGGAGAAAAATTATCCCAGCAAAGCACCCTAGTGGCAGCAAAAGGGAAGAGGCTTGTCGAGGAGTAGGAGGTCGGCTTCAGGTGACCCATGTTCACCCGAACGTGTTTTTATCGTGGCCGTCCAGGCCGAACATTTAGCCGGCACTGAGGCGAGAGCACGTTTCCCGAATACTGCGTGAAGACGTCTCAAGCGAAACGGCTGCCGGCAGAGGGCAGACACGGGCTCCCCGTTCCTCCTGTGGGATTCCTCTGTGGTCCTTTCAATCCCGCAAATTGCCCCCAGGGCCTCAGAGATTGCCCAAACCTCCAAACTTGCCCCCAAAGGGCACAAGGTCCCGCCAAGATCGCCAAGGACGGCCCAACAAGGCCACAAGATGCCCCCCAACTGAGCCCCCGAAGCTCCAAGATAGCCCTATGATTGCGAAATATTTGTCCGGGGTATCCCGAAAGGCCCCACGATACCCCCGAAGAGGCCCCAGGATGGTCCTGGAAGGCTTCAGCACTGTTCCAATGTATAGCCACAAGGTGTCCCCAGGTCGCCTCGGGCCCCAAATATTGATGTCGAACGGGGCCCGCACCTAAAACTCGCGGAAATCTCGGGGCTTGCCGCGTGAATGTTGTGGCTTGTTAAGCGGCTATTCCCGAAGGCGGAAGTCGCCACACACCCTTGTGCGTGAAGGTATGCTTTGTTTGCTGTCTGCCCCGGAGGGGGGAAAGCACAGACCTCACGAGGGCCCCGCAGAGGCACCCAAGAAGCCTACAAGAAACTTGTAAGAGGTAATATAAGAGGCCTCCAACCGGCCCCCGAGAGGCATCCCACACGACCTCAAGAATCGTCATCCAACAGGCCTCTGACCCGCAACCCAAGCACGGTGGCAATGTTGGCCGAAGGCCACAATACCCGCCGCCCCCTGTGGCTTGCCACAATGGTCTGGGTTTTTTTCCAGCCCACCGGCCACCCGGACAGCGAGGGAAAATCTAAGTCCCATTGCTCAAATCACCTCCAAGACGACCAAGATGGCTTCCAAGTTACCTCCAACGGCCAAGATGGCTCCAAGAGAGCCTAAGATAGCCCCAAGATGGCCTCCAAGACGGTCCCAAGATGCCTCCAAGACTGCCAAGATGGTCCAAGGGAGCCCGAAACGCAGAAAAGGCCCATAATTAAAGACGGCCTAAGAGGCCTCCAAAAGGTATTACAGGAAGGTCCGAAGAGGACAAAATCATGGATGTCCATTGCATGGTTGGTCAAGATGTTGGCATTTGCTTCAGAACAGGCTTCCGACCGCCAAGATTCCCCCAGGAGATCTACAATATGGCCTCAGGACGGCCCAAGAGGCTCCCAAGATGGTCCCCAAAGGGCCCCAAGACGGCCCAAGATGCATCTAAGACGCCCAAGATGGCCTTCAAGACGACCCTGAAGCTCCCCCAAAGTGCCCCAAGATGGCCCAGAGACGCTCCCAAGACGGCTTCCGACTGCATCACACGGGGTAGAAACGCTGTAAGCAGGCCAAAAAGGCCCCCCAAGGAAATTCCACAGGGCTCCAAGAGGCCCAAGGAGACCCCCAAGAGGCATCGGAGAGGCACCCAGAAGCTCTCAAGAGGTCTCCTCATCCTTCTCCTCGTCCTCCTGTTTCCTGCTCTCCTCATCCTCCTGTTCCTCCCCCACATGTTCCCCGGAGGACGTTCCACAACGGCTGGGGGAACGCATGGTCCAATCGCGCGGCCAAACTCTGCCAAAACGTTTGGCCATATATAGAGGTATCCTACAAGGAAGGGGGCGGCGGTGATACGCTGTAGGGGTCTTCAGATCCTATATCCACTACCCCATCGAGCCGTGGAAAGCCGTTCACGAAGAGACGGATACAAGAACTTGTGCCTTGGAGGGTGGAGTCAACGCTGCTCCTTCCGTCGCTGGCGGCGCTTCTCGATCTCGAACCACTTGAGGTGCTCCAGCCCGAGGACGGCACTGCAGCGGCGCAGCACCCCCCCCTTGCTCTATCTCCCGCTCACGCGCTCTGCTTCCCGTCCCTTCCCCCGAACCCCACCTGAAGCGCATGCTCGAGGCATCTCCGTAGTAAACTGTCTGTTTTCGTGGCGACGTCATGAGTCGAGCCCATCCGCGGCGCTTGGGGTGCCCAAGGCCAGAACTCTGCGGTGGAACATAGTTCGGCCCCCCTTTACCTTATGCCAAAAAAGTGCATAGAGTTGAGAAGGCTGGCAACCAGAGCAAGGAACGCATACATTATTTTAAGTATGGTTCGTGCGACTGCCTCACTTTGTTGTGGAGTTTACGCTGCTGGAGTGAATTGCATTGAACTATATATATACTGCAGTGCGCATTCGGGCTGCCCTACAAGTGTCTGGCTGACGGCACGATTGTAGTGAGGAGATTCGGTTGGGGCGATTATTGCGGATGCGTTCCTCAACGTGTAATCTCATGCTCGAGCTTTTTCTTCACGTGCGGAACATCGAGGAGCATGATGCATGGTGAAAGTCTCTCCTAAGTCAGGCGCGGTTGTCCGGCTCGCTTTTCTACAACGGAACTTCCCCCGGCGGAGATTCCCCTATCAGGCCTTGCACTGAAGGGGTCCCAGCGGAGATTGCAAAATTTGGCGAAAATGCAAGGCCGGTTTTGGTAGGCGGCCGGGTTCTCGGTTTCCTGGTTCTGGGCTCCCGGGTTCCCGGTTGCTGGTTCCGGACCGATTTCGTTGGACGGCGGGGTTCCCGGGTTTCCGGGTTCCCGGGTTCTTGGTCGATCTCCTTATCGCTACCCACCTCTCTATTGATCACATCACAATCGATCCCACTGGAGATCGCTAGAACGATCTCACGATCGATCTCACTATCGATTTCGCTGAACCGACTTCACGATCGGTTTCACGATCGATCTCAATATCCGTGTCACGAACTTTCAGACCATCCACTGATTCGGGTTCTTTCCCTGGTGCAATACGATTGGGCGGCATCTTCGCTCCCTTGTTGCAGGGTGTGGTTAGTGATGTCGTTCGCAACACGACCTGACTTCGCCTTGTCTTGAAATACGCAATTATCGGCCGTGCCTCCCGTGAAATGCAGCGTCCGCGCACGGAATTGTCATCTGGTGCTCGCGGTGCTCAGCCTCGTGCTCGCTTTCGGCCTGGAGCTCAGGGGAAACTTGCGCATTGATTTCGTCACGTTCGTGTCGTCACGACCCTGGCGCTGGTTTCTGACGCCGCGTGGATACTTCAACCTAAAACAATCGGTTGTTTTCCGATCGCCAGATCGCGCCAAATTGGCCGATTCTGGACCACAGGCGGCGTTCGACAAGAAACGCCTCCGGAAATGTCGACGCCGCGTCGGCACATCACGAACCTGATGTACACGAGGGCTGCGATCCCTGTAATCCCCCCCCACCCCACCCCATCCCCACCCCTCCCCGCCCCCCCCGTGAGGGGGAACGTTAGGGGGGACTGATTCAGAAGCAAAACATCGAACTGGAATCGGCGATACATCGATGCTAGGCCCCCAGGAGCGAATCCGTACGACCCTTGGCAGGGCGAAGCTATCGCTGATAGACCCACCCGGCCCAGGAGCGTACATATTCGCCCATGAACGTATAGGGGCCGACAGCCTATTGGCCCCTTATCGGCGATGAATTGGCGATTCGGGGTCGACGCATTCTCCCCCTGACACTGTCCCCTGCTGTCTTCGCCGCTGTCCATCGTTTCTGCTCTGGCCTCTCCTCGGCAACAGGTAGCCGATGAAAAAGGCTTTCATACGTACGGCAGCGTGGAAATAACTCAGTTCGACAATGTTTTACATAAGCTTATACGAACCGCCGCTTAGTCGTTATTGCCATCGAACGCGTTTTCATTACCTTGACCATTCTCGAAAAGCCTGAAGGCCAACCACCCCTGGGCCTCCGGTGGCACTGGCTGGGCGGTTGGAGGAGGGGGGGAGAAAGGCTGGGCGAGAGGGCTGGAAGGAACGAGCAAGAGAGAGAGAGAGAAAAAAATAAAGGAAGAACAACAAAGGAACTAAGACATAAAGAGAGAAAGAGAGAAAGAGAGCGAGGGAGAAAGAGAGAGAGGTGGCTGGCGGGAAACAACAATAAAAACCGACGACGGAGATGGCGATCAAACCTACGTGGAGGGACAGGGAGGGGAGGGGTGAGACGAACACAGGGGTGGACCAGCTCAGGGGGGGCATATCGAGCCTGCGTCGGCGAATGCATCGCCGATAGATCGGCGATAGGACTCCATAGGTAAACCGCATGCTCTTGGGCGGGGTGGGCTGTCGGGCCCCTACTGGCGATGAGTGAGCGAATTGGGAGTTGCGTTCCCCCTTAACGTTGCCCCTGAGAGGGGGTGGTAGAGTGGGGGGAAGGAGGGATGGGGCAGGGGGGGAGGGGAAGGGAGGTTGAGGGTGGAGGGGGAGGAAGGGGGAGGAGGAGAAAGGAGGGGGGCAGGGACGTGGGAGGAAGAGGAAACGAGCCGAGGGACGGCAGGAGGGGAGGGGGCCCGGGGGGAGGGGGCCCAGGGGGTGGGCGGGTGGGAGACTAGAGCGGCGGGGGAAGGGGGGAGGCCTTGGAAACCCCTGCGGAGGCCGCGGAGAATCCGTCGAGCCCAGCAGGAGCGTCCTTCCGCCGTCCTCTCTCCTCCCTCGTGAAGGGGCCCAGGAGAACACACACACACACAAACACACACACAAAAGAAAAATATACGCAAATCCCAGGACACCCCCGAATTGTTCCATACCTTCGGGATGTTCGTCCATCCCCCATCTTGTCCCATCTCTTCCCATACTTTCTGGGGGTGTCGACGATTCTTGGTGTCTGCGCCGATTTTGCCCTCCTGGGACCCCCCCCTGCGTTCACAATGGGGGGCCAAGCGTGATCACTTCGCCGGCGAAGAGCGTTCGCCCCTGTCGCGCGAGGGGAGGGAACGCCGAGGCTGGGGATGCTCGCAGGCCGATGCCGTCCCGCGCGGTGGGGGTGCGAAGGCAGAGGCGGTGGCTGGCGGCGAGCACAAAGCGAAGCGGGGGGGGATGGCAGGGTCGGCTACACGTACGACCAGGGAAACGCAAGGCTCGGAGTCGGGGGACTGGGCTCAGGCCGCCTCCTCGGGCTCCTCCCTCCTCCCTCCTCTCTCCTTCCCCCTCCTCCTCCTTCTCCTCCTCCTCCTCCTCCTCCTCCTCCTCCTCCTCCTCCTCCTCCTCCTGGGGTACTTCTGGCTAAGGACATCCAGGGCACTTCTGGCCAGACACCCGGCACCGCCAGCTCGGCCGCCCGTGCTGCCGCAGGCCCGCGGGGCGTGGGAGCTGCGCACCGAAGCGCCGGCCGCCACCGGTCGGGCGTCAGCCACCCCCCGCCCGTCGAGGCCGCTCGTGTGGCGGGGAGCAGCAGAAGTCGGGGAGACGTAGGGCTCGGGTTCGGGGGACTCGGGTTGGCCTGGCGGGGCCATCCCGAAACGGACGAGGCCCCGCCAGAAGTTTGGCGCGACCTCCCGCTGCAACCGTCCCACGGACACTGGCTGGACCGTCAAAACCCAGGACGCGCTCGGCCAAAAGCGCCAGCGAACCCGAGTTCTGGTGTACTCGAGTCTTACGTTTTCCCGATAAGAGTGACCTGGGCAAGAGTGACCTTTGGTGCGCGACTCAACGGGGGACGCGGGGTGGACAACATTGGGCCCGCACCAAAGGCCACTCTGGCGAAAGGTAACTCTTACGTGTAGTCGGGTAGGGGGATGGGGGAAGGCCTTTTAGAAGGAGGCTGCTTACTAGAGGGCGCCAGCCTTGCATCTACAGACAGGGCCCGCGCCTTCTAAGAAGCAGGGGTGTTTCTAAGGAGCCTTCCCCCCTCCCCCTGTCCACCCCTGCGCGTGGCCGAGGACGGCCCGACACACCCGATGCAGGAGTGCGGGTGGACGGATTTGAGCCCGAGGGTAGGCAAAGGCGCCTGACTTCGTGCTTCGCGCTGCGCGGAGCACGAATAGCTTCGCGCGCTCGCGCCGCCCCCCGGCGGAGAAGAGAAGGATGACGAGGACTCGGAGCCGAACCGCGAAGCGCGAAGAACTTCGCGCCCTCGAGGGCGCCCTTGGAAAGCGGTGCGCCCGACCCACCTCATGCAGGAGTGCTGGCGGATGCATTTGAGCCCGAGGATGAGGATGCTGGGCCGAACGCGCACACGGACGCGTGAATTCCGTACGCCTCGATCCCAGAACCTCGTTCCTCGATCATCACCCATCCACCCCCCGACTTGCCGTCGATCTGACGTCCATTTCCAATGTATGTGTCGGTTTCATGCGTGTTTTTTGGCTCGATGATCCAGGATGCTCTTCGATGGTTTTCGCAGAAAGGAAAAATGCACACGTCCGAGCGATGCCAGGCCGATGGACGAACGACCCAAGCTTCACCAGTGCAGGGGCCGAGTTCGCGACTCGTCTTGCTGGGGACGCGCTGCAAGCTCGAGGGCTGGTTGGTGGCTGAAAGACGAAGGCCACCGTCGGAACGGGGACTGGGGACCCTCGTCCGACACCTTCCGCGTGCGGCCCTGGTGAAATCAGGCACTCTGGATCCACAGGGGCATCAGGTCGGTCGAGAGAAGTAGGTAAACACAGAAAGTAGGAAGACAGATCAAGTAGATTGGGCTGAGGCGCTATCAGAGAATAACACAATACAGAAAAGGCAGATCGATCATTGAGGTAGTACAGCGCTTGAAATAGATTGAGATCTGGGAATCTGGAGATACCTACTTTCAACGAACGACGGGTAATAACAAAACAGCCTGCGTTCACATAAACTTTTGGAGCTCCGCGCGGGTTTATTGGAACCGCGCTGTCTCCCCCTCCCTGGCGCGCGGAGCGCGCCAAAGGTGGCGCTCGAGGCGCCGCCAAGGCTCCAACGCCGATCCGCGAAATCCGCGCGCCTTGGCCAGCGTCGCCGGCGCGCCAACGCCGCATTAAACCACCGTGTGCCTGTTCTCGATTTCTTGGTGCGCACCAGGGAGGCGCCACTTCGCCGATGGCCCCAAATCGACCCCGCGTCGTTGAAGACCACTGCGCGCCGAAGGCGCTGCGACCCCCGTCGCGGCGCACCGACGTTCAGAGGCTGGCCCCCGTTGGCCCCCCCGCGCTGGTGAAGAATCGAAGAATGAAGGCCAAAAGCTCACACAGCGCGCCGCGGCTTCTGGGTAGGGCCGATGCTACCGCAACTTTCGATGCGCCATCTCCGCGCAAACTCAGGACTGGCGCAACGTGATTCTCCGAATTCGAAGCTCCTCCGCACAGTCACACAGAACGACTGTGCCAATGCCAGGCCACGAAAGTGTAACGCCCGCCCCTGGGCTATCCACCCTAACCCGAGCCTCCTATAGTTTACGGGGTCCCAAAACGGTGCTGTAACAGACCTTGCGGTGACCTCGGAACCCCCAACGACCTCATTGCACGGTACGTCACCGCACGGCTTTGAGACCCCAGAGGCCCCAGTCGCCCGAGAAGTCCTCGGAGAACGGATCAACTCCCGAAGCCATGCGGTGACCGCGACTACCCACTGACTCACCACACAGTGTGGTCACCTCACCGTTCGGGGGCCCCCGAGACCTCCTCTCCCCACCTGGGTGCGCTGCCGGGGCGGGCGCGCGGCGCCTGTCCCCGTCACCGCCGCCGCCCACCAGGGCCTGAAAGACGATGTTCTCGAAGCCCTGGCCGTACCCGAGAAGCTTGAGGTTCGCCGTGAAGGTCACAAGGTCCAGAGTCGCCGCCGGCGCGTGCTTCCCCTGGCCACAGGACGAGGAGGGCGCTCTTCCTTTTTTCCTCCTCCGCCTCCGCCTCCGCTTCCGCCTCCACCTCCTCCTCCTCCTCCTCCTCCTCCTCCTCCTCCTCCTCCTCCGCAGCAGCAGCAGCAATAGCAGCAGCAGCAGCAGCAGCAGCCACTGCCGGTGCCCCGCCTTCTTTTTTCCCGCCCCCGCCTCGAGCCGGTATCCTTCCTGGTGGGCTTGTGGGCGGCCCAAGGGGTGGGTGAGGTGGGCCGGTGTGAGCCCGCCCGCCCCCCTCTTCAGGTGATCGGCCCGCGCCCTGCGCGAAGTCTCTCTGCAGCGTCGTATCCTTCCTCTGCACACTCTTATTCAGTGCCTCGCTGCGGCCGCTGTTGTGGTTCGATGGCGCCAGGGAGGGAACACAGGAGAGTCACGCATCGAATCGATAAGTCGGGTCGGCGATCGAAATGAATCGAATCGACGGAAGTCGGCAACCAAATCGGAAGAAGTCGAATCAGCGGAAATCAGCCGGCCAGTAAGGCCTCCATTGAGAACCCCGGAACCCAAATCGGAATCCGAAGACGAATCGATTCGGAATCGGAATCGATCGAATCGCGCCGACTCGGATGAGTCGAAACTAGCCCTGAAAAGGGGGGGACGAGAATGGAAAGGTGGAGCAGGAAAAAAGGGGACGCGGGGAGGGAGGTGTTGCGTCAAGTTGCGCGCGCACGCGTTAGCATGGGGGAACCGAATCCCGAAAGAAACGGGTCCTGAAACCCAGGGCCTTCCCCCAGGCCCGCCTCCTCATCCGGAACCGTTTTCGGACGGTCCTGGGGCCCGTGGAGGGCCCGGGGGCGCCAAAAAATGACGACAAACCTCGGGACCCGTTTCCCTCAGGACCCTACCCCCTGGCGAGCGCTGCGCGGAGCTGCCCGCACGCCCGCGGGCACGCGCATCCCACGCGGGCCAGAGCGCCCCCGCAGCATCGCGCGGCGGCCCCAGGGAGGGGGGGGGGGGGGGGGGGGGGCGCGTCGTGCGCCAGGAGCCGCCCTATGGGGCCGCTGCGCTCCCGTTCCCAGAGGGAAGGGCAAGGACAGATAAGGAAAAACAAAGAAAAAACAAGGAAAAGCAAGGGAACACAAGGACAAGCAAAGAACAAAGCAACCGGGGGAGGAGGAGGAGGAGGAGGAGAAGGAAGAGGAGGAGGAGGAGGAGGAGGAGGAGGAGGAATCTTGAACCCGCGTGCTCTCGCCCGTGAGTGGGTGCCCCTGGTCTCGGCGCCCCGCGCAGGCACAAAGCAGCCGAGGCGGGGTGGGCCAGCGGCCTCATCGCACGGCGCCCTTGCTGCCGCCACTCGTTTACTCCTCGAGTAGCCCCTCGAGCGGCAGCAGTCTGAAGCATTGCTGCCGCCTCCCTCAGAGCTTGAGGAGCAGCCTGATGGACGGCCGCTGCCGCTCCTCTGCTCTGCGCTCTTCCAGGGGCCGCTCTGGCCGCTGGTCCCTGGGCCCTTGGGCATTCGCGGCCTCCGTGCCTGGCGCGGGGCTGTGGCCTAACCCCTCGCCACGCTGGGGTTCTTTGCGGCCTAACCCCTCGCCGCGCAGGGGTCCTCCGTGGCCTAACCCCTCGCCGCGCTGGGGCCTGCTGCGGTATGGCCCCTCACCTCGCTGGGGTCCTCCGTGGCCTAACCCCTCGCCACGCCGGGGTCTGCTGCGGTCTGACCCTTCACCGCGCTAGGGTCCGAGGTGGCCTAACCCCTCGCCGCGCTGGGGATCTGCGCGGTCTAACCCCTCACCGCGCTGGGGGACTTGGTAGCCTTACCCCTCGCCACGCTGGGGGCTTATGCGGTCTGACCCCTCACCGCGCTGGGGTGCACAGTGGCCTGACCCCTCGCCATGCGGGGGCCTGCTGCGGTCTAACCCCTCACCGCGCTGGGGCCCTCTGTGGCCTAGTCCCTCGCCGCGCAGGGGCAGGCTGCTGTCTGGCCCCTCGCCGCGCTGGGGTCCGCCGTGGCCTAACCCCTCGCCACGCTGGGGATCGTTGCGGTCTAACCCCTCACCGCGCTGGGGCCCTCCGTGGCCTGACCCCTTACCACGCAGGGGCCTGCTGCGGCTTCGGTCTACCCCCTCACCGCGCTGGGGTCCTCTGTGGCCTAACCCCTCGCCGCGCGGGGGTCCTCTGAGGTCTGCCTCCACGCCATGCTGGGGTCCTGCACTGCCCAGCCCCTCACCTTGCTGGGGCCTGCTGCGGTCTGACCCTTCACCGCGCCGGGTTCCTTCGCGGCCGAACCCCTCGCCGCGCTGGGGGCCAGTGCGGTCTGCCAGGTGGTCCCCCATGCTGTCCTTTTCGACTGGGATCAGCTGGTGGATGTCAATGCCGACCTGCTTGTCAGCGTGCTGCTGGAGGCAATCCTCGCTATTCTCCTCGTCCTGGGGGTCAACCATGTCCATGGTGCTCCGTCCTACTGGTGGGGGACGGGCACCCCTCTGCATCCCGTCGTGCGCAGGGCTGTGGCCTGTCCCCTCGCCCCGCCGGGGGTTTCTGCGGCCTACCCCCTCGCCGCACAGGGGACCTCGGTGGCCTGACCCATCACCTCGCTGGGGCCTGCTGCGGTCTAACCCCTCACCGCGCTGGGGTCCACTTTGTTCTGACCACGCGCCTCGCTGGGGGTCGGTGCGGTCTGGTCCTTCCCCACTCTGGGGTCCTTCGTGGCCGAACCCCTCGCCTCGCTGGGGTCCTCTGCAGCCTGCCATGTGGTGCCCGTTGCTGTCCAGGTCTGCTGGCTTCGGGTGGTTGTTGTATCCGTCCTGCTTGTTTGTGGGCTGCTGAGCGCTGTCCTCGCTGTTCTCCTCGTCCTGGATGGGGGTCGTAGTAATCCGTGTCCTTGGTGCTCCGTCCTGCTGGTGGGGGACGGGCACCCCTCTGCATCCCGTCTGGCGCTGGGCCGTGGCCTGACCCCTCGCCGCGCTGGGGTCCTCTGCGGCCGACCCCCTCGCCGCACAGGGGCCCTTCTTGGCCTCACCCCTCGCCGCGCAGGGGCCTGCTGCGGTCTAGCCCCTCACCGCGCTGTGGTCCACTGTGGCCTAACCCCTCGCCACGCTGGGGTTCTGCGCGGTCTAACCCCTCACCGCGCTGGGGGGCTTCGTGGCCTAACCCCTCGCCGCGCTGGGGGCTCCTGTGGTCTGACCCCTTACCGCTCTGGGGTGCTCCGTGGCCTAACCCCTCGCCACGCTGGGGCCTGCTGCGGTCTAACCCCTCACCGCGCTGGGGTCCTCTGTGGCCTAACCCCTCGCCGCGCAGAGGCCTGCTGTGGTCTGTCCCCTCACCGCGCTGGAGTCCGCCGTGGCCGAACCCCTCGCCGCGCTGGGGATCGCTGCGGTCTAACCCCATCACTGCGCTGGGGTTCCCCATAGCCTGGCCCCTTTGCCAGGCTTGGGGCCGCTGCGGTCTAACCCCTCACCGCGCTGGGGTGCTGGGCCTCGTTCTTGTTTGGCTGTTGACGTGGCCGCTCCAAGGAGCTGTTCTGCCGTGGCCCTGCGGCGCGCCGCCTCGCTTGGGCATTGCTGCTGGGTCCCTCTACGCTCCGTTCCGCTGTTGAGCCAGGCCATGCGGCAGATGTCCTCTGCCGCTCTGCGCTGGCTGTGTTGTCTGCCTGGCCCTGGGGCATCACTGAAGAGCCGCTGGCATGGGCCAATCTGGAGCGTCCTCAGCACATATGGCACGCACGCTGCACTCCACGTCTGCCAGCCTCGCTCGCCCGCTTGTTGAGGCCAGCCTCCTGCCAGCGATTGCACGCGCTGCTCAAGGCGGTTCCTCTCGAGCCAGGCCGGCTCACGCTCAGGGCCTTCTTCTTCTCCTCTTTGCTGGGGGAGCCGCGGGTGCTGCATGCCTGCCTCCTTGGCCTCCCTCGCGTACTTCATCCGGTCGGGCCCTGTCGGCTTGGCGATCCTTGGCGTCTCCTGCAAGGTCTTGCTGGCCCTGTCGCTGGTTGTGGTGGCGTTGAGCTGGTGTACCTCCTCTACGGTGTCCTTGCCATGATCACTGCCTTGGCCTTCCAGCTCTGGCACCTCGCTGTCTGGTTGCGTTGAGTCGTCGTCCAGTTGCTCAGGTGTCCACGCCCTGCGGCCTTCCTCCGTGCTGGCTAGCGGCCTGCGCACACTGCTGGGGATGCTGTGGTTGATGATGGTCATCCACCTGCCCAGGAAGGCTTCCATGTGTGCCCTAGCCGCCTGCTGTCTGGTGCCGTACGGGAGGGTGAGCATGTGTGTCATGAGCCTCCTTCTCGCTTTGTGGGTGCTCTTCCAGATGTCCTCGCAGAGGTCGCTGATCTGCTGGATCCCCCTTGGCGTGGCTGCACTTTTTTGGTTTTGGGCGCCCGTCCTGCCTCCAGTGATGACGGCGAGCAGGTACGGGACACTGTGCTCCATCCAGTCGTCCTTGTCTTCCCGCACGTCCTGGTCCACCATGTTCATCCACTGCTCCGCGTAGCCCTCCATGTGGTCCACCACCTGGCAGCTCATGTGGCCTGCTGGGTGGGGATGCCTTGGCGGTTGTGGCTGAACTGGCTGCAGTGTCTCTGATTCCGAGCTTTCTCCGTCCAGGTCGATCACCTCTGCGTTGCTCTCCCTTAGGTTGAAGCCGTTGAAGCCCGCTGTCTTGGCCTCCTCTGGTGGCGCGGCTGCCGCTTTGTCCTCGTCCTGCTTTGCTCTTCGCGGCAGCCTCCCCTTCTGCAAGTCCATAATGATATTGCTCCCCGCTGTGGTGGGCGGGACACATGGCTTGGCCAGCTCGCGAGCAACGCCTGCAACGATTCGGCTCGCGTGGTTCCCGAGGTAGCTGGTGGCCCCGCACTTCTCGCACCAGAGCCAGCCCTGCGCGAGCTGCATCTTGTGGGCGTCGTGGGCGACCCGCGTGCCGATCTGCACTGTCTCGAAATCGAGCCTAACATTCCCGTGCGGGTGCAGGTGGCTGCTCTCTCTTCCTTGGCATTCACCCGTCTCGGCTAGCCAAGCTGGCACTCCTTG